TGTGCCATCAACAATCCAATTTTTATGCAAACTTTTTTTTTCTTTCTCACATTGGTTTTTGTGCCGCTTCGTCCATGCAACGCGCCAGCCAACCGACCGACCGACCGAAATGCATGTGCCTGTGAACGTGCGTTTGCACATACGCAACGGATGGTTGAAAAAAAATCATACTGTGCCGACATTAAAACACACCACACACGCAAACGGTTTTGCCGAATATTTGGCCGCCGTAATACATGAGACGAACATACACACACAGAGAAAGGGAGAGTGCACATGTAGTAAGTGCCGGGGAGAGTGGGCTTAATTCACATGCAATGAATAGGCACTGTCTCACCGAGTATATCACAACATGGATATGCGTGCGTGTGTCGTAGCAGCGCGGCTCTATGTTACGCAAAAACGAGGTGTCTGTGACTCTGTCGATGTGTGGAAAAGGCCTATCACGACGGTTTTGCTTGCGCCGACTGTATTTAGTGCACACACTGTCAAAGCGCCTATTTCAATGTTGTTGCTTTTTTTGCTCTGCTCTGCTGTTTCGGTCGTGCGATGCGTGTGTGCGAACTTGTGTGTTTTTGTTGTGTTTATTTGCTAACATGCGTTTTGGGCTGCCGTTGCTGCCGCTATTCGCTCGCAATTTGTGACCGCCACTCGAAAACTTTTTGCAAAGTTGAGCGACCTTTGCATACACACTGCAATACAATATACACATCATCAGACTACGCGCGCTCTGCTCAAAAATACAGGGTTGCGTCACTGGATTTTTGTTTTGCATTCTCCGTAACATTCCTCACTTAATCGCACTTCTTGTGACTCCTGGTTGATGTGTGCTTAGCTTGAAGGCTTCGTCCACCTTATCCTTTGCATTTTTTTTTCTCTTTGAAACTGTGAACATCCGAAAATAAAAAAAAGGACGAATCCAATTCTCCCGGCATTTCAGCAAAAAAGGAAAGAATACAGTGGGAGAAAAACCAGCACAAACGATCAGACAAAACGCTTGAGCTCTACTTTCACAGTAATTGCATCACTTCAATCTAAATCGAGGAGATAAACGCATTTCACAAACTATATACTGGAGTCGATAAACTTGGGATATTGCCCTGGTTTCTGGACGTGTTTGAAGCGCTCCTTTCTACCATTTGTCAGCATCAAATGCGAGACGATTTTTTTTTATTTCTTTCTGTATTTTTATGCGTTTTGTCTACGTTCGCATTGTATTTGAAGAAAGAATGCGAATGAATTTTGCGTTCGCTCTCTTTCTATCTGTTGTTTTCATTTGGTGCAGTGTGTGTATGTGTGAGCATCCTCTGTTATTTTTGCCCCGACTTGAATTTATGCAGTGCAACGACACCGAAAGAAACAAAGGCAACAGAAAAATACACGAAAAAACGCACACAGAGTGAAGGAGAGAAAGAGAGATCCAACAAAACGCGTGTGTTGTTTATTATAATCTCTACCATATATAGATAGCAAAAGAATGAATATCGCGCGATTTCTTTATATCGCATTGTATTCCTCTACATGCGCGCGCTCACTCGTTCGTTTGCTTACTCACTCAATGCGTTTTCAGAAAGAAATTTCTTCATCGCATTCGTATTTTCAAATGGTCACAGAAACACAAACACTCATTTCCCTCACCAAAGCAAATAGACACGAATGAATCGCAGCCGATGTTATTTGGCCGCTCTTCCTAAACGCAAATAGGAAAAAAATTGAATTTTGATTAGATCCGCCTCGTTATACACTCTTTACTTTCTCGTTTTCTATCCCTCTCTTTCTCTTGCTCTCTTCCTCTATTCAACTATGCAAATGCACACAGACATCGGAGAATATCCTGAGAAAGGGCAAGAATTATTTTGAAAATCGAATTAAACGTCTCGAGTCCATTTTGCACTCGCAAAAAACAAACAGATAGCATTTGAAAAGTTTAACGAACGCCTCGTTCTTAATTGAAAATGAATCAACAGACAATTTAGTTTGACTTTTTTGAACAGATTTCTCCAAATGAGTTAACATATTTACTTCTCGAATTCTGGTGAAATTTTTTGCAAGTTTTCGAATTCATTTGTGGCGTTAATGCATGACAAATCTACTGTGATCGTTCCGAAAATACAAATTTGCTCCCGATTGTATGAATGATTCAGTGTTGTGTATGTTTTTCCTGTGTTTAAATTGACACACGCGCCTCGCTTGGCATAACGTTAATCGCGATATATCCATAGCCGAAAGCGCAAAGCAAACATTGTAAATGTGACCTCAATTGGGGCAAAAATGAAATCGGCATTCGGGCGAAAGAAGTATTTTAAAAACACTTTCCATAATACGATTGATATGATATGCGAAGAAAAAAGTGTGCGTGTGCGTGTGCGTGTGTACGTTATTTGTGCGATGAAATTTAATTACCTCGCCATTGACATTGAATTTTGTTTGTGGCGAAATTTATTGGCTGGAACAGTGAAAAAAATGGCAACGTTTGCAAAACCGCGCAACACTTCTGATAAATCGCTCGACTCAGGCCGAATTAGCTGTAAATATTAGCGAAAATTCAAGCAAAACCATTTGAGTTGGCGAAATGAATGTATATTGTCAATGTCTGGATTTTTACTGGGATTGCAAAAATTCGGCGAATTTATTTCATTTTCTTTCTTTTTTGCAATTTCGAAAGTGTTCAACCCAAAGTATGCGTCACAAACAAGAATTCTATGAATTGAAATGATTTGAAGAGAAAAATGTTCCATTGAAAAGTGCATTTCATTTTCTGTTACTACCGAACGCCAGAGACGCACGGCAAAAAAAAAGAGAAAAAAGCAAATCAATGGAATTGCAAAACAAAAAGAGAAAGTTAATTAAATCAGCAGAAAATCAGTTCCATCCATTGATATAAGTGTGTTGATGTAATGCACGCATCGATGCGACACATACGGCGCACCAACATCGCAAAATCAAAGTCGAAGCAGTGCAAAAATCGCGACGATACAACGGCAGAAATAAAAATTGAAATGAATAAAAAAAATGAGGAAAAAAATTCTCGTTGCCGGTTATGCTGCAGTACACACATTAAAAACGTAGAAAAAGCCGAGCAAGCAAACAAGCAAGAGAGAGAGATATATAGGGTCGTATCTCTCGTCGCACATTCATGTGTGACCAGTTTTATTTGGTTGAATGCGTTCCGTAAGCCTATTAAGCGTAAAAAAAATAATCTTTATTCAGTGTCCATTCGATGTGGGCAAAAATGAGATATCGACCAGAGTGTGTTAATCGAATTGCGACGTCACATCTCTCGCCATTACGTTTGCCTTACAGTCGGTATACGTTTTCAGCCTACGTCATATCAGGCATGGCATTGTTTTTCCTGCTTTCACTGGTTTCATTTATATTTTTCTCCTTCTCCCTCACCCATACTCTCTCTGTCAAGGCTCCGATTCTTTTTCGCACGTTTCAATTAGGATTTTAAGTGTGCGCACGTCGCCACATGAATGTTAATGGCTGCGGTTCAATCACTGTTATCCACTTATGTACATTCCGAAACCAATACCAAATGGAGAGCACCAAAGAGAGAGAGAGATAGAGGAAAAAACAGCCATTGTCGCGTTCACCCAACATATTAAAAGCATGAATGAACCGTTGCATCGATCCGGTTGCTCAGCTATTTTAAGTGTCACTTGTAATTTTTCTCTATGAAACTGTCCGACTATGTCACCGTAGTGTCGTTGACAATTCGCTAAATATATTTATAGCAAACAACGGATGCATTTTACAACACAATGTCATACACCTGGTGCTGGTTATTAGATCTTGAGCGATTTTTATCTATACCACACCACTGGAAATATTTTTCATTTGACCTGTCGCCGATGAAGGAACGATGGTACTGTAATGCAACTTCCACTTTGTTTGTTGTCAGATGCATTTTTGCAATCATTTCACCTGAAATAAATGTGGCAGACGGCGCTTTGGGCTAACAGTCAAACGACAAAAAAGCAGAAAAAAAGTGTTTCAAAAACGTTGACAATGCGATTGCGATCGTGGCATTTCATCCATTCAAAGAAATGATTTTATCACCACATTTTTATCGTTTCCGGTGTATTTAACTGTCGCATGAATTGGCATGGTTTAACGAGAAACGATAACATTTTTCATAAAATATTCAGAAACATTTTTTTTCTCGTTCATTTATTTAATTTTCAAAACCATCAATTTTTGTCCGATTGCTGGTTATTTACGATTATTATAGATCATATCATATGCAACATTCAATTAAATTAAGCATTTATTTTAATTTTTTTTCAGATGGACGTTTCATTTATACTCAATTTGCTGTAAAACAGAGTAGTAATTGCGAACGGTAAACAAAATGCAATTAATTTTTGTTCGTATTTATCCAGTGTTAGCTTTCCAACGGGAGTCTATGGTGAAAATAACATACAGCCAGAAAATTTAAATAACGACGAACGATGAAAATGTCGAAATTTCATTTTGCAGAAACCCGTAGATCCGAACTTGTGCTGTCCCGTTTAAGTTTTACAAGTGCGGAATTATGGGAATCTGTTGATACTGAAAATTGCTCGACTCTGCATCCGTCCATCATGAAGTTTTTATCCGTTTAGCCATTTGATGATGTCGAATTTTACATTACGCTGATATCGTATTTCGTATCTTTTATGCTTAACAACGGTGCCTGTCATTCGGTACTCAGAATAGGGTTCGGTCCAAAATCGGGTTCGGTGGTTTTGAAATTATTTTCCACGAAATTTTAAACATTTCCTGTTTGACGTCGTAGCAAAACTTTCTCAGCCAATATCAATTTACTACTTAAACGATGAAGTGTCAATGACAGTTCGAATATGGAATAAGTTGTTCAAAAATCTTCTATCAAATGCTTGGAATGTGATGGTAAGAGATGGAAGTTTCCCTTATGCAAACACTTTCAACAACTATATAGGGAAATATCCATATTTTATCATGATAAAATTCCAAAATGATAACGTCTCTTTTTATGAAAAATCCATTTAATGAAGGCAATTTAAAGCGTTTTGTTTCGGGTATGAAACAGCGTGATAATGTAGGAAAATCGAAAATTGAATTTTGACATTCTTCATCCAGCAGGAATCATTAAATGACAACGGGTCGAAAACTAATTGATGAAGCAGGCCCAGCTGTCAATGGCATGTAATAATCGGCGTTGTACGTTGTATGGCAACCGGTAATGAAGCTTTTGCACTATGAGGTAGTAGGTTGTATAGTATGGTTTTATTAAATGCTACTGTATGACCTGCTAACTTGTAATGCGATGCGCTGTATTCATCATCTGCATCATCATCGCCATGAGTCGGATACAACTCGGGGATATTTGCATAACAATATTATTTACAATTACATCATCGAATGAATTTCAGCGTATTAAGTCCAACAACAAATGCAATGCACCATATTATGCGTCGTCTCGAAAATGGAAGCTGCAGGGCAGAGAGAGAGAGAGAGAGCGAGGAAGAGAGATGGAAAAAAACACGTAAAAACATTGACGAAAATTAATCCCGATGAATGGGTTAAAGTGTGTAATTGAAACGAGTAATTTTTTGTTCGTTCTGACGGAGCATGTTCATGTCGTTGCACAATAGGTCAACACGTTCTATGGATGTGCGATGCACAAAAACAGTGAAAAGCCATAACTCACCCACCTACATTGTTAAATTTCTGAATTTTATTATTTTCAGCCACTTTTCGTATTCGTTTTTCTCGATTTTTTTTTCGTTCCTTTCGTTGTGTTAAACCATTTCAAAGAATGTCGAAAGAAACATCGCAAAACTCGTACAAAACGGGCAAAGTTTCCTTTGTAGTATGCTTCGCAAGGCGTGAAGAAAATGTGTCTTTGTCGATAAATTTCAAAGCATTCTCTGCAAATAAAAATTATTCTACTTAACTTTATGAAATATTTCAACGATAAAAATTTACAACAAAATTGCGAAACAATGTCGAATGTATGTCGAATATTGCGAATAAATTTATTGCGAGCAAAGTTTCTTCGACGCCAGTGTAGTTCCGAAATGCATCGCTTTAAGTGGCTCAACGTCGTCATTGCATCCAACACATTCATCTTGAACCGAAAATGTAATTGCATCGTGAAAAATGTAGCAAGTTTTGAGGCCAGTCAACGTTAAACTTTTGCCGTTGTCGTCGTCGTCGTCGTTATAATTTTCATACTGAGCTGAATTGCAACCTTCCACAAATTGCACAAACGGTATATTTTTCTCTCTCTCTCTCATGATTAAATCTCGACAGCAACAGAAATTAAAAGTTTCGTTTCTCAGTATTCGGCGCACCGACAACACTTCTTCCATTAGTATAATAATGAGACGCATGTAGTTGCAATATCTGTGGAAAAAATAGAGAATATTTCAAAGCAATTAAATACTTCCGTCGGTGGTGGTGGCAGCATCAGTAAAAAGATTTATTAGAAATTTCCACTTTAATTGAACAACATTTGAGACGGCAACGCGCGTGAGAGCACATCGCTAATTACCCCCATCATTCAATTGCACGGCAAGAGTCTTTCGTCTATTTTTCCTTCTTCCGTTTGATTTTTTTAACTTCAAATTTCCATCAATGATTGACGACTACTGGAATTAAGACAAAGAAATTAAATACAGTAGAGAAAATCGTCATCGCAAACGAAACTCATTTAATATAGTTTTAATTAAAACCGATCGAAATTTATTCTCCTCCACATTCGTTACCGTTTGCCATATGAAATCATCCGATGTCAAAGTGTTCTGGTTCAAAGCTGAAACGAATGAGAGAAAAAAACACAACCGAATCAGCAGTTTTTATCCAAAGCTTCAACGTATTTTTGTATTCTAGCACATCTATAGACATTGACATGAAATCGTTTATTTCGCTGTTCTTGTTCTCTCTCTCTATCCCGATCAACACCGACGACTCTCTTACAACCGAAATTGTTACTGTTTCATTGCTCCGCGAATTGAGAGTGTGCACAAATTTTTTTTCGTTACAGCTACTATAGGTTTCGGTGTTGGTGTATGTGTGTGTGAGTGTATTTTGCGAATATTTCTGGATTTTTATGCTTATTCTGCGCTCAGTAATGTATGCGCGTTTGGTTGTGTGAGTGTGCGATTTTTTTTTTTGCGATTCAAGTTAAACGGAATATGATGTTCTATCGTGCAGACAGAGAAAGAAGTATGATTTGGTACCACGGAAACAATGTGAAATATAAAAATGGAAAAGGCAATAACAAGCGATTCACAGAGTTTGGCCACCGACGACGACGACGACGACGACGACAGAAGAAAAAAAGAAGAAGAAGAGAAAAGAAATCGCACGTTTGCGTTTTCTTTTTCCACCAGAAACAAGTGACGTGACAGCGCTCAACGTTCGATCATTCAACGTGAAATTCGGCTCTTTTTTTCTACCTTCCTTCTCCATACGGTATTCTTTTTTTTGGTTCTTCATTGAACAAAGTCTTCTTCTCTTCTTTTTTTTCGCGAAATCAACATCCACACGACAATCGAAAGACTGCCATCAACACGAGCACTCTACCACTTAAGTCACCTCACATTTTTTTTGCACTGTAAATTTCAACCGCGATTGCTTTCAAATCGAATAACTTGCTGATGATGCGCAAAATTCCAACAATTACTGCGCTTGGGTAAAGACATCGAAAATTGCTGTAGTTTCCGCCAGAATTCCAAAATTTTCCATAGTTTTAGTGTGCTGGTGTTGGCATACGCGTGTGTTTGACTGTGTGTGTGTATATATGTGAGCTGCCAATATATTCAAGTGCTATCAGTTCCTTAGGTAAAATAAGCCAGGACAGATAAGAACAGTGTTGACGTAATTTCAAATATTGAATCTAAAAGGAGCTGAATTGAGCAAAAAGAACCCAAAAAATCCAATAAAATGTATAAAAATATTCAATTTTTCAAAATGAAAGGAACACTTTCAGCGAAATAAAAAAAAACGATTGAAAAAGTGAAAGACAATGCAACATTGGATGTAAAACACCGCCGGCGATCCATTAACAAATTTCGAGACAAAAACCCCGAAAAATACTCTTGAATAAACTGTAGTGTTAAAAATTTAATAACTCTTTGCAATTTTGTGCTCAATATTCAACAAAAACCTCGTAAAAAAAAAACGTTAAAATTCGTTTTGTGTTTGAGTGGAAGGAAAGAGAGAGAGAGAGGAAAAAATGGCCGAAGATGAAAGTTTTTTAAGCTGAAATAAATTGTTAAAATGTGTGTGCTTGTGTCAAAGTCAGCGAGCTACCGTCATCGTGTATGTCAAAAGTATATGTTTTTTTTTCCTTCGCTTGATCGGCAAGAGAGATTCGCTAGTCGTGTGCGAGAATGAAATAAAGAAAAAAACAATCAAATGAAAAGGACCGGCAGCGCCATTGGCAAAACCACGATTAACGTGTATTGAAATTGTCTGTCTCCAATGAAAAAAAGGGAAAAAAAGTATTTAAATTCCGCAAAGTACACACAAAATTTAATTTTCACTACACTAAACGTACTAGAAATACGCAAAATTTGTTGTTTCAAAATCAAATTTCAAGTGTTGAGTTACTTTAATGCGAGACGGCGAGTCAATAAAATAAGTGATCTTTTCTAGTGTATTCGGTGTGATTCAAGTCAACTGGATGACGACATAACCTTGCGATCAAGAAGAAAGTAGCATTTGATATCAAATAGCTATTCCTGTATTTAATTGCGGTGAGATCCTGAGAAATTTCAGCAGCAACAAAATTTGAAAATGAACGCACACCAAATAATAATAACTATAACGCTATATATGCAAAAACACAATGAAAAATAGGTTGTCGCGTGTGTCGATCGAAAGTCGATGGAGAAAGAAATGAGTGTGTGCACGATTTGTGAAAGCAAATGATTCGCGCTCCTGTTTGATTTTCGCGGAAGTTGAATCAGCTTGGATTTTGTGCTATTTTTACGAGTGGCCTTTGTTTAGTGTGCTAAATTTCTTCTTTTCTTTTCTCTTCTTCTTTTTTTCGCTCTATCAGCTTGGATTTGTTCAAGCATCGGATTATATTGAAGCTGCTCGCGCCCGCAATTCAATTAAACGCATCTTCTTATCGAACGTTGACCTAGATTCGTTGCTCATTTTCAGTGTTTTTTGCGTATCGTGTGTTTTCGCAAATTAAAATAAATGTGTGCAAAAATTAAGTTCAATTCATCATTTGCCAACTACACACGACCGTGCGTCGATCCACTTGAGCGCTAGAATAGAGAGAGAAAAAACGACATAAGTAATAAAAATAACTCGGACAATGCGGATGTGTGCGTGTGTTCCAAATTCGCGTAACATTGAAACAAATTTTTTTTTGCGAACACTAAATATTTTCGGCATACGAGAGAAATTTCAAGACTGAAGAGATAGAGAGAAAGGGGAGGAGAGAGAGAGAGAGCGAGCAGTTCATATTTTGGATGGCATACATTGCGATTTGTAACGTTAAATGCCTTTTGACTAATCTGGAGCACACTGACTGAACAATACGTGGTATGTCATCAGTTGTGCCTAGTTTTTTTATTATGGCTACATAAAAACTCTATGTGCTGTATGCCTTAGCCAATGTCAATTTCAATCAATTGTTCTTGATATTGTTGTTGTTTTTGCGCAAAAGGTCGGCCATACAAAGCTAGTCATGTTGTTAAAGAGAGATAAACAAATTACAAATTTTCAAATAAATAAATAAAATGCGCAAAAATCGATTTGTATGCAAAATTGCCTATTAACAGCAATCGTATTAGCCTTCGTACAGGGGCCAACGACTAGCCATTCTCCATCGTGCATTTTATCAATCGAAACACAAAAAAAAGCCAACAACACGATAATCATTTTTTTTTAAATATTCCCATCGCGTATCGATATGAATATACAATATTTGAAACCATCAAACAAACACATTGACAATTTTATGGCCGAACCAGAGAAATATTTGCACATACAATATAATTGAGTGAAAAGAAGAAGAAAAAAACACACGCGCGACCGTAACACCGCCACACGGATCCCATTCAAAATGGAACACACATTCGGTGTATTTGACTCATTAACTTGAAACCGCGAAAGACATACAGCCGAACGAATTGAACGAATGAACGATGAACGCTATTCATTCAAACAAACATCACTTTGCCATTTCTTCACGATCGCCAAGTCGTTGTTCTCAACTTGAACTATTCGGTGTGTGCTATTTATTTTGCAATTTTTTTTTTCGTTCGTTCGTTTGTGCCCGCAAAACATTACCAAACTATTCAAGTTTGAATAAATTACTACACATACACATAGAAAGAGAGAGAGTCAGTTCAAACACCGACACAACGATTTGCAAATCATTTGGCAAAAAAAGCAGAACCGAACGGAAAAAAAAACAGAAAACTAATTTTGCAAAATTTTCTAAGTCAAAACAGCAAAAATTGCACGACCAACACTCACACCAACAGTCAAATTATACGTATTGTTGGGGCCCACAAATGTACTGGCACGCTTGTGTACTGTATAACGAAAAAAAGGTCAATGAACGCAAGGCACAAATGTCGTAGAATCGCAATTCGAATCGCAGCGCAAAGGCATGAAAGCATGAGATAGAAGAGGACAGAGCGTGCTCTCTGCTCTCCACACGCGCGTTTCCGTGTATGTGACGATTGTTTTCTCTATGATAGATGTTACACATTTCAAACACATTACAATACATATTCTCGTGTGCTCGCAAATGTACGGTATCTCTCGCTCTCTCTCTCTTCCTCTCTCTTTCCCTGCTTTCGCTACGAATACGTTGAAATGTCGTCATATTCGCTGATTTTTTGTGCCGTTTGCAAATTGCGTTCAGTTTTTCATTTCCGAGCTTGAAGTGTGATGCGAAATTTTTGACTTTTTAGATACGCATTTATTTGCGAGATAATGATTGTTATTTAAAATTGCGATTGTTTTTCTTTTCGTTACGCTAGTGCTTTGTTTTTCGGTAATTTATTTTGAATCGATTTATTTTTATTTTCCTTTCGTTGATCAAGGAACGATTTTTATTTTCGTGTGTGAACTTTTTCACTTTTGATCGAGTTTCGGTCACGTGAAATCAATGCACTTCCGTTCAATGAACCGATTGAGTCGACAAATGAATCACACACACACACACACACACACACACACATTGTACTGAAAATACATTTCTAAAATTCGTACATTTTTCTCACTCACAGCGGCGGTTAATGACATCAGAAACCATTTTTATTTGCCATTCGAATTGGTAAACAATGGAGTTCAATAAAAAGAAGTCCTCCAAAATAATTTGCTGAGTTGGCCAATACGTTCATGATCATTAGACGGATTAGTTGGGCGTAGAAGGGCGAAGAGAGAACCAGAGATATAGTGACACCGAGAGAGAGAGAGAGAGAGAGCAAGTGAGCCCGATAGAGTAAAAGAGCGATAAAGAAAACTGATTTTCCCACAAGCAACGAGACAAGATAATTGTAACGGCTAATTATTTATAAATGTGAATGATCTAACGTGCCGTTGAATTGATACCCATACATATGTACATTTAAATGATTTTCTTTCTTTTTTTTCCTCTATGCACTCTATTGTCGATCGCTTTTTGATTACACACATCGTTTTCCATTTACACCAATTTTGCCATGCATCCAAAACCGTTGCAATTGTGCGCGCGATGCAACCATTCGCGCGCTCCGGATGAGGCAACACGAGTGAAATCTATTGAAGTGAAATTCTTTGGCAAACGGCAGACAATGCAACGACATAGCTGTCGACATTTGAATTTGAATAAAAATAGATGTGAAAATGGAAGAGCGAACGAGTAACAAGAACGAGAGACACAAAAGCACACAAAATAATGAACAAAACCAAACAAAAAAAAAACATGTATTGAATCAAATTCGCAGGCTCAACAGAAAAAGAAGCAGCAGCAATAGCAACAGTCATCGTGTGCAACGGCAACCGATTGCATACTCGAACCGGCAACCACGACACAAAGGTAAACGCACCGTAAAGTGAAAGTTTTTCAATGCATAACATAAATTGCATATTCGCGCTATATTCGATCAAAGTTGTTGAGCAGCTAAGGAAATTTCTTTTCAAATACATTGTTATGGAGAGCGAGAGAGGAAAATAAAAGAAGGAAAAAATGTACAACGCCGTAGATTTTCCAATCTAATGCAGAAAACCCGTTTCGATGTGCGCTAGCAAATACAATAGAATGCGGAATATTTGGATCGTGTTTGTTGTAGCTGATTCCCTGAGACCTATAATTTGTGACTGTCTATATAAGTTTCACAAATTTCGATCTCCGGTATTGGCGACAAACTATCAACAAGATACATTCGACACACCGCACCGAAAATCGAAATCACTTTGGAGCCGATCAGCAGAACTAATCACAAAAAGATGTTTCAGTGATGACAGCCTTTTTCCTTCAATCATGGATCGTATTAACTTTGTTTTTCACACAACACACACTTGGTTTTTTCTTCTTTATTTTTACGCTTTTGAATTCTGTTTTTCATCCAAGAAGTGAATTAATGTTGTTTTTCTATTGCAGAAAAATGGACTTTTCATTGTTCTATTACGTGAACTAGCCTGCAGATGCTCGCAATTTTTTTCATTCGTCGAATGAAATCAGACAGAGCATAGTTTTTCCCAGAGTCAGCGACTGCAGAACCAAAGGGGGAGAAAATACAGGAAATGTTTGATTCAAGGAAGTGCAGATGTTTATCTTGAAACCATATCGTTAACACTTCAAATCAAGTTCTGAACCGTGAATTATCGTAACGAAACCAACCGGTGTAAAATGTAGTGAATCTAACGTTTGTAGGCATTTCATTCATAAAAATTTCGTATTCATGATGTTTGCAAGAGAGAAAAACAAATCCACCGTCTCCATTAACTCTCTCCACTCAAACACTCACTCTTCCGTAATATTGCGATGCAAAAGCTTATTAATTGAACTTGCGAATCAACTTCATTCGAACAAGTTTCAATGCTGGTGATCGTGCTCGGTTTGTGCATTTGATAAGTTATTGGCGTTATAACGATTTGTTTTTTTATTTATTCGAACTTTTTTTTTATGTGAAATATTTTTTTCTGAGCAATCAATTTTTTTCAAGAAAACAACTTGACGCACATTTGTCACGCCAACAAAAAAAGAAATCTTTTCAATGCTCCAATCCAAACATCCATAATACTTTACCACAAACTAAATAATTCTATTTTTAATGAGCGACTCGAATATTTGCAAATTTTATCTCAATGTCATCAATGTCGCCACAATGTTCTCAGGTCAACAACCTTAAAACGGTGCACAAGTGTAACGAATTACTCGGCTGATTAGATACAGAGGTGACTGAAACGCACTAAGCTATTGAGCATTGGCGACATCGCAAACGTGTTTGCATGAAATAAACATGTTTGATGCGAACAAGATGACTGAACTCGATTGATATTTTTACAAGTGCACCAGATCACAAATAAGCGGATTAGATCTTTTTTTTTCTTTTATAATATCTTAATTTTGGTCCACTGCAATTTTCATTGAGTAATCTTTTGGTGAGAGTCTTATGATACCGTACTGCAGCACTACCGTACGTTGGAATTCGACTTATTTTGATCCTCAAAACTAATTCGCTTGAATAAATCATTAAATTTACAAAGACAGATATTGGGATATCTTGAATGAGAATTGAATTCTTGAAAATTTGCGAGAGATAAATGTTCAAAGCTATTTGAAACAATTTGAAATGATATTTAGTTTTTGGCATGAGCTCTATTGTAACAGTAAAGATTTCTTTTAAAAGATTTCGTCATGAGATTCTTTTAAAATATGCACATTTATAAAGGTACTAATACATAGCCAATGAATTCGGAGCTGGATTATTCCGAATTTGAACTCCTTATCAGAATTCTATTCGTGAGACGTAAAAGAATGTTTATTTTTTTCTCGATTTATATTTTTGAAAAAGAAAGTATGTTCTCTGTTGATTCTGTCTGCGTTAAAATAAAGTATGTTGGCCGTATACCGTCTAGCCTCCACGGTTTTTCGCGATTTCCACAGAACTGATCAGTTGCAAGCAAATCGCGCACATAAAAAAGCAAATTTTATACAGAACTTTGTTTTTTCTTATCGTTTTTCGCGCTTTTTGCGAAACCGATAAGAGATAAGAGATAGATGTCTTCAGCAATGTAGAAGACCTCGAGTACTACAACTTTGCTGAAGACACCATGTTGTTATCTCTTATCAGCTCTGCGAAAACCGAACAAAACCGCGAGGACCCGCCAAAAACGAACATACATTCTTTTAACCATTATTAGTGGCAATGAAACATACTTCTCTTTATTGCTACGAAGTTGGACAAACTTGCGTTCTTTTACGTCTCACTAATTAAATTATGAAGGTTGCTACCACTTTATTATTGATTTCAGGTTGAGCAAATATCATCTGCTGAATGCTCGAGAAAAAAACCAATATTTTCGAACTTAATTCAATTCTGTGTGAAGTTAATGGTTGCCACGAATCGATTTGTTTGAGAAAAATGCTTCAAAAACGACTGTCTGTATATTTGGGTCTGAACATAAATTAATTCCATTTGAGTAAACACTCATCGTATTTGTGATAATCGTCTACGTCACAGTTACCTCTATCTAATAAGTCTAATGTATTTTAGAATCAGATCGCAGTTGAGATTTACACTTCTTTCAGTGCACCTCGCCAGCAGTTTCGGCTCAATTTTTCGGATTTCAAAGTAGTTAAAATTGAATGCGTCATAATGTTCAAACTCAAAGGATTAACTCGACAAACTGGTCTGAAAATACAACGAAAAAGATCGTTTCCCATGAAATTCATCAAATTCATTATCGTTTCGTTGATACTTGTGTGTTTATTCAATAAAATGTTCAGTTTAAAGAAATTGTTTCGTCGACGAACATTTGTGGTGCAAAAAGATTTATTGGATTATAATGAAGATAGTCTTCGTACCGGATGGCCATTTCAAATAACTAAACACTATGATATGTATGATTTGCGAACGTATACACCAAAACCGAAAGTTATTTCCACACAAAATTTGCCCGGTGAAAGAGGTGATCAAGAGTAACCGATTTTCAAGTTTTAGAAACGAGGAAAACAAGGCTAGAGAAATCGTTTATACGTTTTGTGATTTAATTTCATTGTAGGAATGGCTGTACAGATACCGAATGAGATAATGCAATTGGCAAACTGGTATAGTGAATATCAAATAAACATCCTAGCAAGTGATAAAGTCGCACCAAAGCGTTCGTTACCCGATTTTCGTGATCCAAAATGTTTGAATATCAGATATCCAAGGCTATTACCAAGTGCGTCGGTAATTATAGCCGTTCATAACGAAGCTGAGTCTGTTTTGCTGCGTGCCATTTGGAGCGTAATCAATCGATCGCCAGACGAACTTTTGGAGGAACTTATTCTGGTGGACGATTTCAGCGACAAAGAGCATATGAAAGAAAAACTCGCAGAATATTTGCCCACTGTTTCGAGTAAAATCAAATTAGTGCGAACGGAAAAACGAGAGGGAATAGTTAAAGCACGTCTGATCGGAGCGGAAAAAGCGAATGTAATGCTCTTTGATTGATTCAAATCAATTGAAAATTTCCATGTAAAATTCAATTTTCAAAGTGCAAAAGTTTTTGTTTATCCATGTGATTCTTGTTCTTTTACGAAGGGTCAAGTACTAATTTTCTTGGATGCAAATACCGAATGTAATGACGGATGGATGGAACCATTACTGTCACGAATTGCAAGTGATCGATCGGTGGTGGTCACTCCTCGCATTGATACCATTAACATCACTACATCTGCTTATGAAAAGTATAACGACACTGCAATCTATGGTTTCGGTTGGAATTTAGTGCTGCATCTGTATGTATCTCAGTGATTGGCACATAAAATATTTACTCAATTAGACAACGATTAATTAAGATAATTCATAGATTCCCCATACCCGATCGAGAAATTGCACGAAATCATGGTGATTTGAGCGCCCCATACCGAACACCGTCTTTGGTTGGATGTGCCACAGCTATTGATCGAGAGTTTTTCTTCGAAATAGGTACATTTGATACTGGCATGCATATTTGGGGCGGTGATGCGGCCGAATTGTCAATACGAGTAAGGAATTTTATTTTAAAACAAGAAAAAGATATTCTTCAAAATTTCTCAACGAAATAAAAAAAAACATAAATCCTAACCAAGACTTGGCTATGCGGTGGAGCAGTTGAGATCGTCCCATGCTCACATGTTGGCCACTATTTCCGTTTCACGCCATATTCATTCAATGGCGACAGATATGAGGTGGAACTTCGCAACAATTTGCGAACGGTTGAAGTGTGGATGGATCAGTACAGAGTTTATTACGATACACTAATTCAACGTGAGTGATATGACTTCGAGTCAAATGGAAGAAAGCAATCGTTCTTATTATTTTTGATTTTTTTTTTAAATGATAAATAGTTCTAACGTGATTCTTTTCAGCGGCTTGGAAAAGAGTCATAGGAGGTGATGTGACCGCACGGAAGGCCCTTCGTCAGAAATTGAAATGTAAAGCATTCCGTTGGTACTTGAAAAATGTTTTCCCTGAGAATGCAATGAGCATTGGGACGGAAATTATTGGACATCTCCAACGATTTGGATCAAAATACTGTGTAGATCGACTAGGTCGTGCACTCAATAGACAAATCGGACTTTACAAATGCCATGGAAATGGCTACAATCAGGGATTCTCGTATCAGAAAAACCATCAGATTGTTTTTCATCCTGATTTGTGTTTAGGACGTGCAAGGAGGGAAAATGTCAGCAAAATCCCTCCCGAACTAGCAACCAATGATCAATTCTTAAATGATCCAAATCTCTTGACTCCTGAAATGAACACCGAAAATCACGTCGTGCTTTTACCTTGTAATTCAACGAATGGCGACAAATGGGCGTACAACGAAACAGTGAGTATGCTTGAAATTGGGCTTTCATCGAATTTGTATCGCCCACATGGAAAAGATGAACTATTTTTAAAACATGTGTTTTGCATTTGCGTAGATACATCAAATTGGCCACGTTGAATCGGGCTTGTGTTTTGCGACAGAAGGGTGGTTGGTGGTCGTAGCACCATGTGACTCGAAAGATGAAAGGCAACATTGGAAAATCTCCAGCTTTGATGAATATCAGAGGAGTTTAGTGCTCGAAATGCTCAACCATAGACCGTAGAAATCTCAAATGATCGCATATGTCTTGAAAATAAGTTTGAGATCAAATCATTGTAAATTTTAGTCGATTTTTTCTCTAGAATAAACAAACTTTTCTCGGAATACAACATTTGTTTATTTAGTCATTCGTATGATGTGGCTTTCTGTTCAAATAAAACCAGATTTTACTCGAAACATCTATGAAAGTTAATTATTTTGGTGAATATGGCAACATGAATTATTTTATCCAAGATTTTGTTTTATCAATATGAAATTTTCTTTATATCACATGAAATGTTCGAAACCGAAACTGTTCTCTATTTATCTAGTAAAAATTTCAAATATTGATTCATATTAAAGAAGATAGATGATTGACTCCACATTCATTGCATTGCATATTCAATGTGCCAAAAAAGATTATTTAATCAACATTCTTTTAAGACATAGACGAGAATAGAGCTAAAAATATTTTAATTTTGCTATAATAAACTCAAGCAAAAATCCACACTGAATTGACGTTGCGTTAACGCATATCTGACACTGTTCCCACACGGTTTTGAACGTCAAAGCGTGTGGCTATAGTATAATAGAGTGTGAAGCCGTTTGACATCATTTTTGATTTCGAATAACCGTGTGGATGCAGTGTAAGTTTGTTCAGGTATCAAGAGTCGACACCAAAAATGGTTTCAAAATTCGCCATGATAACGCAACGGTCATACACTACGGCGACATGGTTTTAAATGTAAAACAGTGTGGCGGACTTCCACACTGTCCAATACAAACATAAACTGCATCCACACGGTTATTTGACATCAAAACCGTGTGGAAACAGTGTCAGATATGTGTAAACGCAACGTCGATTCAGTGTGAATTTTTGCTTGGGAAATACTTTTCATTTGAAAAAATCTTTTTTCTCTCTAAAAATATTGATTTTATTGCATGGAAATATCTGGAAAAAATGATATAGTTTATTCTAAATTCGTATTGTTCATTCAGTGTTACGTCAACCAAATCATTTAGTAACGCGATAATTGTGTAAAATATCACCTGTCTAAACACATTGTAACTAACTCTATTGACTTCATAGATTTGGAAAAAATGGACTTCGATTAATATGATTCGAGACAATTGTGTGATCAGTTTCATATTGTCATTCTCTTTATTAAAATTGGATTGAAGTTGAATTCATACAGATTAAATGAAATTGAAACTTTCTTCAAAAACCCAATTTGATCATTCTATGTCGAATTGTTCAATGTGTAAGACGTGTTTTAGCCTAAACCAATTTTCAAACACTTTGTTTGAAGAAGATGTTCCTAATATCGTCAATTGGTCGTTGTTTGTGGTTCAAAATGAGGCGTCGCTCTCCCTTTTACATACAATTTATAGTGGTTTTATTCATTTGTGTATTTTTATACGATAAAATGGTGTTAGAGAGGCGGCATTTTCGGTCCAAGAAGATGGTTATTCAAACAGATTTATTAGACTATAATGAAGATGAACTTCGTCATGGATGGCCATTTCAAATAACGAAACATTATCATATGAACGATCTTCGAACATACACTTCAAAGATGAAAATTATCTCAAAATTTGATTTTCCCGGTGAAAGAGGTGAAAGAAAACAATCCTGTTATCTTGAAATAAGATCAACTTCGACAGTGACATCTAAGCGATATTTCCATTTCTTAGGAGCTCCTGTTGTGCTTCCGCCAGTATTGCAAAGTTTGGCAGATGTTTCGTTTAGTGAATATCGAATAAATATCGTGGCCAGTGACAAAGTCGCACCAAATCGTACACTACCTGATTTGCGCGATTCAAAATGTTTGGATATCAGATATCCAAGGCTATTACCAAGTGCGTCTGTAATTATGGTAGTTCATAATGAAGCCTGGTCAGTTTTGCTGCGTGCCATTTGGAGCGTAATCAATCGATCGCCAGATGAACTTTTGGAGGAACTTATTCTGGTGGACGATTTCAGCGACAAAGAGCATATGAAAGAAAAACTCGCAGAATTTTTGCCCACTGTTTCGAGTAAAATCAAATTAGTGCGAACGGAGAAACGAGAAGGGTTAATTCGAGCTCGTGTGATTGGAGCGGAAAAAGCACATGTATTGATTCATAATTGTGAAATTTCAACTGAAATCATTTGATATTTGATTTTTTTCATTTAATAAGGGTCAAGTATTGATCTTCTTGGATGCAAATACTGAAAGTAACGATGGTTGGATGGAGCCCTTACTATCTCGAATTGCAAGCGATCGATCGGTAGTAGCAATTCCTCATGTTGATAATATCAATTTCACTAACATGGCGTATGAGGAATTTAACGAAGGTTTAATGTATGGCATTGGCTGGAATATGTATTACAGAGAGTATGTGACCAAAAATATTGCTTAAATTCAATTCAAAATATAGCGAAAACATCGTTATCAGAAACAAATTCATATGAAAAATAAACGAATTGTAATTTGTAGATATCCAATACCCGAGCGGGAAATGATAAGAAATAATGGTGATGTAACGGCTCCATATCGAACACCAGCTCTGATCGGTTGTGCCATAGCCATTGATCGAGAGTTTTTCTTCGAAATTGGCACATTTGATATGGAGATGAGCATTTGGGGTGGTGAAAATACCGAGCTATCGTTGCGTGTAAGCAATTTTCAATATTATTCAAGCCACATATTCAAATTATGAACAATTGCGGTTATTATGATCATCAAAACTCACAAAGATCAGGTGTGGCAGTGTGGCGGAGCGCTGGAAATTATTCCATGCTCTAGGGTTGGGCATCAATTCCGAACTCTTCCATATTCATTTAATGGCGATAAAATTGCGGTCAGGATTCGCAACACCATGCGCACAGCAAGCGTTTGGATGGATGAATATAAGCCATATTTCGATGTGATTATACCACGTAAGAGAAATGATGAAATAGAAAAATGAACCATTTCACATATCTGTTGTTCTACTTGCAGCTGAACTAAGAAATATGGACGTTGGAGATTTGAGCAAACGAATCGCTCTTCGTGCTCAGCTGAGATGTAAAGGTTTCCATTGGTATTTGAAGAATGTGTTCCCCGAAAGTGTTATGATAGCCGGTTACCAGGTCATTGGTCAGGTAGAACATTTGTTCAGATGTTACTTCTGATCTAGTTAGTGTATGTAACATTAAATGCTATTCTCATCCAGATCCAACTATTCGGTACAAAATTTTGTCTTGACAAAAATGGCCGTAAGATAAACCGACAAATTGGCATCCATGGATGCCATGGAAATGGCTACACACAGGGATTTAGTTATCAGAAGAATCACCAAATTGTCTTCCATCAAAATGAGTGTTTAAGTCTTGCGAAAACGGAAAATATCACCATACCATCTGAAGCAAAATTACTCAATGATCCAAATCTTTTGACTCGCGGCGTGAATACAACAAATCACGTAGTACTTTTGCAGTGTAATGCAACGAGCGGCGAAAAGTGGACATATAATGAAAATGTAAGCGTATAATTTCACTTCGATTTATCTCCCATTTTGATTGAAAAATAATTCATTTGTAAACAGATACATCAAATAAAGCATCTTGACACCGGCTTGTGTCTGTCGACAGATACGTGGAACGCAATTGCAGCTCCATGTAATTTGGATGACAATAAACAAAAATGGATAATCTCATCGTTTGAAGAATACTCAAGAAAATTGTTAGACAATTTTAATCCAATTGATCCAAATAATCCATGAAATTAATTCTGACTTGTTCACATTTTATCATAGACATAACAATTCAATCCATGATTTATTTGAACTCGTTTGCACGAAAAACAATCTTCGAATCATTTTTTTTGTACATATAAAAGAAACCCAAATCGAATAGAACAGGTGTTTTTCATTGTTAGCTTTGCTTTCGATTTTAGAATCAGTTTGCTGAACGTATCAACGCATTGGAACCAGTCAACTCTTTCCAGTCATTTTTGAAATGTATGAGACGTATATTCAAGAGCTATGCCCGCAAATTTGACTGATTTTTGTATACTTGGCAGACTATTTAAGACGTTAAAGCATAGAAGATCGCTAGTATCGATTCGCTACGAAGCTCATAGAAAATGTCAATGTACGTCATTCTCACACTGCCGTGAAATGAGTTGTGTTTAATACATGCTTGTCAGGACAACATATTTATTTAAACGGAATGGCTTAAAATACACATCAAAAGATGGAGGACACTTCATTTGTTGACAAACACGAGAATCGTCAATAACAACAATATTTATTCTTCTTTTTTATACGGATTCGCTCCGTCTGGCTGCATTTCCACGACTTAATATGTAAATGAATTCGAAATACCTCACCCATTCGTGCTATGAAACCCAAAAGAAGCGTACGCAACGATGACATTTAAATCGAAATTTAGAAGTGTAAGTACTGAATTTTTTCAATCATTCATTCCAATATTGAAAATTGATTCGAATTTTCAGTTATTTCCGATAAAGTATTGGATGGCGCTGGCCACGGTGGTTTTAATAGGAAATATTGTATTTTTGCTTCGTTATCTGATGAATGCACGACTAGACGAAAGAGAGTTTTTAAATCCACAATTATTTGATGATATAAAGAATGATGGTGGCATTTTGGCCGATCGAAACCAATTTAAATATTTGATTGCAAACACCGAATGCAGGTTTGAAAGTTCAAATGATCCACATCCAAACTTTATCATTGCTGTCAATTCAAATCCTCGGGCTAAGGAGATGCGCCAAACCATCCGCGACTCGTGGGGAAGCTATGAAAAGAGTGCTAAAACCATTTTCTTTCTCGGTGTTGTGGATTCCGAACAAATTCAAGAAGAAATCGAAGCTGAATATGCAGAGTTTGGTGACATAGTCCAGGGTAATTTCATCGATCACCAACGCAATTTGACCATCAAACATCTGATGATTTTGAACTGGAGCGTTGTAAATTGCTTGAATGCAAAATATTTGATAAAAATAGACGATAATGTATTTGCCAATGTGCCTGCAATCGGTGACTTCTTGGCACAGAATCCATTGACAAAGAATTTTCTCATGGGAACATATCACGAACCGGAACTATGTCCGAGAGAAGGAGACTCGAAAGTTACACACGAAGAATACGCATCGGATTACTATCCAGCCTACGCTGAAGGACATTCCATCATCTATTCTATGGACGTCGCAGTCATGCTCTGCTATAAATCGAATTTCGTGGAGTTCTTTTGGGTGGAAGATGTTTTCATCACCGGCATTTTACGGTCTCAAATAAATGTGGACATTGAACCGAGCGAAAAGTACATTTTGACCAGAGAGAGCTTGATTGATATGCGCCAAACAACACTTAATTTACCAACCCCAATGAATTTCATGTTTTCGTTGCCCAATTTAATCATATCAGATCAAATTATGCTGTGGGACAGAACCGAATGGTATCGGCTCGGTGAAACAAATTCAGTTTGATGAAACATTTGAACGATTTAAAAATTTCGTTTTTTTTTTCATTGCACATGCACTTTGATTAACTTAATTATAAAAATATCAAATAAAACTTTTCAAACTAATTTGTATGCTTTCATTCAGAATCAAGTAATATTAATAAATAATTGCGCTGCATAGAAAAATCCATTTGAATGTGAAAACTTGAAAAAGTCAGTTTTTTCATCTGCTAAACAGAAAGAGGTGACAAAAACTCTTTCTCACATTCTGAACAAGACTCGTGTGAGTAAATAAAAACTCGACTTAAAATTTCATGGCAAACACTGACGTGGTAACGAATGAAAGTCTCCGCCCATTTGGCACGTTTCTGTTGCCTTTTTCAACCGTCTACGCATATAAATATAGATCTATAAAAAAAATTGCAAGACAACTCTTGCTGAACGCGTTCAGACAGAAGTTCAAACAATTCAATTGTTTTTCAAAAAAAAATTCATTATGATATTAAGTCGAGATCAATATGACGTTGAAAAAAAATTTCACTCAAAACAAAATACTACTCTGAAGCCAAGTTCCATCAAAATGACAGAATTGGTATTCCGGTAGGAATTTTCCGCTTAAATTTAAATTGCGTTTCATTTTCAATTGAAATATATCAATATTTGTTTTAGCTACGCATGAACAGACTATTGCTATACCTCTCAAAATAAACATTTTCATTACCGGTTTTATTTTATTTTATTTTATTAAACACCGCCAAGCTCTAGCTGAATATAATGTGGGTTTTGTTATAGGTTTGGCCGGAAAAGAGTGCAAGACTGTTACACATTGAAAATAATGAACAATAGTAGCAGTATCTTTCGATAACTTTCAGTTCTCGCCACGTTAAAAACCTGGCTCTTCTCGTACATTATGCGGTAATTACAATAGCAGGAACATGAAAACGAAGACAGTCATACAACCAAGATGGAAATGCTCAATATTAGTCTATAGCAAACGGTCCAAGATAACCTTTGGTAAACGTTTCCAAAGGGACAAAAGCTATGTGAAGCGTTAACTGTTACGCGTTAAATTTAAGACTTTAAGACTGCAAAAGCCGTCACTCAATTTATCCGATAGATAAATTGATGAGAAGTTTTACGTCGGTTAAGGCAGATCCATGTTGATTGCAGAGTGTATTGAGTTACATTGACCTGAGTTACTATTGACATGGACCTTGATTTGAAACGTAACTAGATCATTTGATGCTAAATGGTAAATAATTCAAAATTGACTTGAAAGATAAGAATATTAACTCGCCAACTCGTGGATGGCTACAACAAAGCACAAAATCTACAATAAACAAGTGTAAACATCACAGATAAGTATCATCTTTTCAATAAATATAAAAGAATGTATGGAAAAGTTCGTCAGTCTTTTAATATTAATAACGTGGGTGTTTGGAACCTGGGACAGCCCCGCTCATGTTTGTTGCAAACAGAAGCAACCCAAAAGGCACCCGGGCAGTATGCTTTGTCCTTGATGAATTCGGCGCTTGATATCATGGATCGGGTTTAACGGCAACATGAAAATCGCAATTTCATCATTAATGTGGGCAGTATCAAGGTGTTCTCGTAGAGAACATATACAAAAAATGAGGTTACCTGGATTAAAAATTGACTAGGCGGCCAGGTAGTCATTTGAGTTTGCAAAGTGATCCAAAAGTGGTGTCCGTCATTCTGCGAACCGATGATGCAAAATTCGTCTTTGAGGTAGCTGTTGTGAACATTTGTGGCACCATGTTCGCCATTTTGCACATTTGAGGAATTGGAGCCTCGCGCACCAACTTCATGTGCTTGTCATTGACCTTGAATTGCTCACTGTGTCTCAACGAACGGCCATGATGGAATGAGACTTGGTCACTAACAGTTGAACAGTTAGCGTTACCGTTGATGATGTCGTAGAAAAATGTCAATGATGCGTTGACACGTCGACGGCGAAGACTAATCATGTTCAAGTCCGACAATCGCTGCTCATACGGTGTGATTGAGTATTGGTTATGCACGGATGGGTATTCACGACGAGCGTACATAGTGAATTGGCGTTGCACTGATTCAATTTTGTCGCTGTGGATTTTGTGGAATGGAAGCCATACCATAGCGCATTAGTCGAGGTGAGATTGAACCAATGCAAAATACAGCGATTTTAGTGTGGTAACGTCGGTGATATCATGGCAGAAGCGTTTGACAAGCATTCCGATTCTGAACAAAACAACGGATTATATGCGCGCCATAGTTCAACTGGAGTTGGTTCGATGTCGCTGATACAAAGCATATTCCTTTCAAAAGTGTGCATTCCACTCGCCAAAAATCGTTGACAATCGAATCAACAATTTCGTTTATTTATTCGAATAATAAAAATGGTCAAATCTACATATTTCAACAACAACACACACACGTATACATTTTAAAAAGCAGAATCTCGAGATGATTTTTTTCTTTGATCTGAATTTGATCCAAAGAAAATGAATGAAATTTGAATTTCGAACTTCGAAATGAATTTGACATTTCGAAAGGAACGAGACCGCCGTTTTGCATCGTGTTCATTTCACACTCAGTTCCAACACACGCATATACACCAATTCCCGTTCACATAACATGCTTACATTGCATTTTTACGTCGCCATTTTCAAATCGCATTCATAGCATCATTCTGATGGAATCCATTTTGCAATTGATGCCGACAAAAATTGAATAGTTTAAATTTACGAGCTGAAAATACGAAGAACTATCCGATTTGAGGTTGTGATTAAGAGGATATTCATTGAGTAGCTGGGAATTTTTGGTTGTTTTTATAGAGGGTGTGTTTTTTTTGTTGTTGTAATATGTATGTAAAAGCGAACGATGACACGATTGACTGGCGATAAATCAGAAGCATTGCCATTATGACGTTGTAGTTTGCGGTTGATTTTTCTCAAGAAGGAAATTCTTTTTTCATTTCCTTATAATATCGCCGATCCGTTTTATTTTCATATTAACTGATAAAATAAATAATGTTTATTTGAATATTCTAGACTTACGTGTCGTTCACAATGGATCAAATGAAAATCATCCAACTGGACGACGATTGTCTTGAGCACATCCAACTGGACCGCTTCGGATGAAATGTAAAATATCCTACAGAATTTTTTAATTCTTTGGCACCACCAGGACTACCACCACATGTTCTAAATTTGAAAATAGATTCTTCAGTAATTTCTTTAAGAAATTTGGATGCACCGAAATTATGCAACGACACAAAATTAATAATCAAAAACATGAAACCAAACTTATATTTAGCATGTTATTTATTATATGTAGCATGTTCACGAGTAGGATATATTTATTCACCAAATTCAAAAGTAAAAAATTGTATATCCCATTGTACTTCGATAATAAAACAGAAATATTGATAAAACATATGATGTAGAGAAAATTATGAATAATCTAGCGGAGCGAGCGTGCCGAGCGAAGCGAGGACCGCTCCAGCCTCTCTGATCGTCTGTACAAATAGATAGGAAACGTCAAACAAAAACAATAAAGCGGCACCTGGCGACTGGTTGGAGAAATAGAGAATCATGCACATAGTTTGCTGTAACAAGTATGCGTCTGTGTAATTCAAACGTTGCAAGTATGACACGTTGCACTTAGTCCCCAGGTGCCGCTGTATTGTTTACTATTTTCATGATCAGAAACGCTGGACCGCTAGTGGGTTCATAAAAAGCTTCAACACATATTGCCTTTTCGAGTATTTGCTTGGCAACAGAAAATTTAACTTTACTCTCTTTTCTTTCTTCGACGATTGAGATGATACGCATGATCAACTTCTTACGTGGGTGAAAAACAGATGTGAATGATTAAAAATAAGTTTCTAGACTTTGCTCGATGATTCAACAAGAAAAGCGTTCTATCACGTGCCGAGTACGTGATCAATGTGCTATAAATCGAAAATTCATTACGTACTCACCGTCATTTGTTATCAGCCAAGCAACATCACCATGAGTAAAAAGGTAAGTGCAGCATTCTGGTTAAAATTATCAACATTTTCTATGTTCTAATTTTTTTAGAAGATATTTATCTTTCAGCTGTGTCTAAGGTCTCTGGTGAGAATTTTGCTCATTGCTGTGACATCTTTGAATATTCTGATAATTTTGCTGCAATTTTCAACTTATTCTTTGCCTAAAAAATCAAAATTATTTCATATTCTTGAGGATGTGAATGAGAATCCGAATCGAATGTTTGATGTTCCCGAATTCAAGTATTTGATTTCCAAACCGAGATGCAGTCGTAGCAGTTCAGCGCCATATTTTGTTACATTGGTGCATTCATCACCGACACAGTTCGAAAGACGAGCGGCTTGCCGAGATACGTGGGCGCATTCGGATCCACGAACGAAAACCTATTTTCTGATGGGAATGGTTCAGTCTTCGTCACTGCAAAAAAGAATCAACGACGAAGATGCTCAGTTCAATGATATCATCCAAGGTAATTTCATTGATTCGTACCACAACCTGACGTACAAACACACAATGGCATTGAAATGGTTCACAGACAATTGCCCCGACGTCAAGTACCTACTGAAACTGGATGATGACGTCTTTGTGAATGTTCCAGCGCTCCATGAATTCTTGTTGAACAACAAAAAAGATAGGAAATTTCTACTTGGTCCATATAGGGGGAACACTATAGTTCAACGCAATGGAAAATGGAAAGTGACACCTGAAGAATTCGTCGACGATCAATATCCAGAATATGTAGAAGGTTCATCGGTTATTTATTCAAATGATTTTGTTCATGAGGCTTTCAAAAAGACATTCACAACAAGGTATTTCTGGATTGACGATGTTTATGTGACCGGGATAATTCGGATGCAGCTGAACGTTAGAATTGAGCCGATTGATCGATATCTACTCAGTGGATCGTTACTAGAAAGCGTTTTGAATGGAGTAACAACCGAACCAGAGGAACAATCATTTTTATTAAGCGCGCAACAGCTCAAAGCTCAAGACATTAGAAAATTATGGAAAAGTTTTCACAGAAAAGCACATCAACCCGAATGAATGAGAGAAAATCGATACATTTTTATTTCATAGCAATTGATATTTTTCGATCAACTTGGATGATTGTTATAAAAGTGCCCAAAACGATTTGTTTTTATCGTTTCAAAATTATATTCCAAATATATGTTATCAAAATAAAATGTATGAACGTCATCTGAATAAAATGCTCGCCTTAGTAATTTAATCCATTAACAACCATTGGTCGATTTTCAAGAGAAAAAAATGTTTTTCTTTAAAAACTTTGTTTAAATGAAATGTGTATTTTACAATGAGAATATTACAAAATTAATGAAAATAATTTCGAAGTGGCCGCCTATTCGAGCTGCAAATGAAAACAGAAACTTCGAAAAAAATATACCTTAAGAAATTTGTACTGAGTTCACGAAATTTCGATCGCTGTTTAAGAAAAATGGACTCATCAATTCAATCACATGATGCGCGGTTTGGTTTTTTATTTTCAGACCAAAATTACAAATTGAAAGTTCAATGCATTTTGAAAATAAAATAAGATCCCTGGTAATTAATGGGTTTATTAAAAGCTTCAACACATATTGCCTTTTCGAGTATTTGCTTGGCAACAGAAAATTTAGCTTTACTCTCTTTTCTTTCTTCGACGATTGAGATGATACGCATGATCAACTTCTTACGTGGGTAAAAAACAGATGTAGATGATTAAACATACATTTCTAGACTTTACTAGATGATTCAACAAGAAAAGCGTTCTATCACGTGCCGAGTACGTGATCAATGTGCTGAAAATCGAAAATTCATTACGTACCCACCGTCATTTGTTATCAGCCAAGCGACATCACCATGAGTAAAAAGGTAAGTGCAGCATTCTGATTAAAATTATCAACATTGTTCTAATTTTTTTTAGAAGATATTTATCTTTCAGCTGCGTCTAAGGTCTCTGGTGAGAATTTTGCTCATTGCTGTGACATCTTTGAATATTCTGATAATTTTGCTGCAATTTTCAACTTATTCTTTGCCTAAAAAATCAAAATTATTTCATATTCTTGAGGATGTGAATGAGAATCCGAATCGAATGTTTGATGTTCCCGAATTTAAGTATTTAATTTCCAAACCGAGATGCAGTCGTAACAGTTTAGCTCCATATTTTGTTACATTAGTGCATTCATCGCCGACACAGTTCGAAAGACGAGCGGCTTGCCGAAATACGTGGGCGCATTCGGATCCTCGAACGGAAACATACTTTCTGATGGGAATGGTTCAGTCTTCGTCACTGCAAAAAAGAATCAACGACGAAGATGCTCAGTTCAATGATATCATCCAAGGCAATTTCATTGATTCGTACCACAACCTGACGTACAAACACACAATGGCATTGAAATGGTTCACAGACAATTGCCCCGACGTCAAGTACCTACTGAAACTGGATGATGACGTCTTCGTAAATATTCCAGCCATGCACAAATTTTTGGCTACCAACAAAAACGACCAGAAATTCATTCTCGGTATTTATTTCCCACCACAAGAGACGTGTCGTCAGGGCAAGTGGAAAATTTCATATGAAGATATCATCGAAAACTTTGTGCCCGAATATGCATCCGGCCAATCCGTTATTTATTCAAATGATTTTGTTAGAGAGGCTTACAAGAAAACTTTCACCACCAAATTCCTGTGGATTGATGATCTCTACATTACGGGATATATTCGAATGCAATTGAATATTAGAGTCGAACCAATATATCCATTTAGATTGAGCGATGATGCCTTGCAAATGGTATTAAATGGTAGCACCACCAAATTGCCGGATCCGATGTTCATTGTTAGTGAGCATGATCGCAAATACGATGAAATGATTAAACTCTGGAAATTCACCGAAGAATATAGAAGTGAACATTTCATATGATGCAACAATATCGAATATTCCGGGTTTTTTTAGATCAGAAAAACTCGGAAATTAAAATGTATTTATTGCTTTGAAAATATTATAAAAAAATCCATGTTGAATATATTGTTTTATTCTTCAAATTCAAAATACATTTTAATTTGAATAAATTTGTTCATGAATCATTGAATTCTCTTGATAATTTGTTCTTTTCATCAAGTTAGCGTTTCTGCTTTAATATCAATCTAGAAATGCAGTTCTGCGTTGTCATAAAATAAAATAAAATGTAAATCGAATAAAATTACAGATCTCTTTCAATGAAGAAGCACAAACGGGTTAATGATATTGAACCATTCTTTATTTCAATAAAGTTATTTCAAGCTTTAAGAAATGGAAAAAATATTGTACATTGTTTGTTATGTCTGCATTTTTTGCAGTCGTACATTTTGAATAAATATCGCGAAGTACGTTCAATGCGAGAATTTAAAAAAAATAAAACAAAATGTTCTGTAAACAAAGAATGTGTTCGACGCGCATTGAACTCGTGATCTTCGGCATACAGTATACTCCTGCTATGAGATCTTATCGTCATTTGATTTTGTGATCGCAATGAAAACACAAGTGAGTCAGTCATACTATTAAATTGTTTCCATTTGCATTCATTCTATTTCTTAGAACTAATTCAATTCGCATTTTGGAAAATGCATTGAATATTTTCTTTAAATTTTGCTCAATTTCTTTTCATGAGCTATGTGTCGGAAAAATACCGATTTATTTGTACTATAATTCGTTATCTATCGGAATATTAAAACGGATCTAATGTTTTTCGTCTGAAGAGTTCGTAAAAATGTATCAGAGAATGGAAAGAAGTTTTCTGAAGAAAAATAAAATCAATTTCCGAGAAAAATTTTCGGCTGAAAATCATTCAATCTGAATTCTTTTTTCTCTCGTCTTCAATTTTGTGAAGTCTTTACAAGGAAACTTTAGGCTTTTTGTTTTCATTTTTTAGACGTTTTGAGTGATTTATTATGTCATTAAAAAATCCATGAAGTTTCTTTTACGATTTCTTATGCGAACATATTTCGTGTACCAACATTAAAAGGGTTGTACTTTGACTCGGTGCATTTTTTTTACATTGTACTGTCTTTCTGTACGTGACGCGTGGAAATTTTTCACAAAACCGTGTAAACAACATATTTTTGGTATAATGAATAAAAACAGACGTGAATTGGAAATATAAATTAAACATAAATTTTCAGACTTGTTGACGTCAGAGAAAATTAAAGCTGAGTTATTTATTTCATACAAAGTCCAGTTTTGCATGTTAATAATAAAATCTCTTTTCGTCTAATCTTATTATTAGAGTAACGATATGGCAAAAAGTGTGTGAAATGTTGTTTCTTTCTGTCTTATATTAATTTATCTCATTCTCTTTATTTTTCAGATGAATTTGAAATTTTCCGCCCGAAACCTATTATTTTTAACGGTTTTTCTGAACATTTTAATAGTTTCAATTTACTATTTGCATTGTTCATTGCCAAATAGTTCCAAAGTACTGAAGATTTTTCAAGAAGATGTAATCGAAAATCCGAATCGTATGTTTGCTGTTCCTGAATTTAAATATTTGATTTCAAAACCGGAATGCAGTCGCAACGGTTCAGCCCCATACTTCGTTACTTTGGTCAATTCATCGCCAACACAATACCAAAGACGAGCTGCTTGCCGAGAGACATGGGCACACTCAGATCCCCGAACAAAGACTTACTTCATGATTGGCATACCACAAACTAAATCACTACAACGAAAAATCGACGAAGAAGAAGCACAGTTCCATGATATCCTTCAAGGCAATTTCATTGATTCGTATCACAACCTGACGTACAAATACACAATGGCATTGAAATGGTTCTCGGAGAATTGCCCTGACGTCAAGTATTTACTGAAACTGGATGATGACGTCTTTGTAAATGTTCCGGCCATGTACGAATTTTTGGTTACCAACAAAAATGACCAGAAATTTATTCTGGGTATTTATTACCCACCACAACCGACAGGTCGAATTGGAAAGTGGAAAATTTCATATGAAGATGTCAGAGAGAAATTTATACCAGAGTATGCATCAGGTCAATCGGTTATTTATTCGAGTGATTTTGTGAAAGAGGCTTATAAGAGAACATTTACCACGCCATACCTTTGGATTGATGACATTTATATTGCTGGGTACATTCGGATGCAACTAAATGCCAGAATTGAACCAATCTATCCCCTGAGATTGAGTGATGATGCCTTACAAATGGTCTTGAATGGTACCACCAAAACATTACCGGAACCGATGTTCATTGTTAGCGAACATGATCGAAAATATGATGATATGATTAAACTCTGGAAATTCACCGAAGAATATAGAAAAGCCCATCCACATGGAATGTAATGATCATTTTGGACCAATTTTTATAAATAAGTTTTTTAAAATTGTACTTGTCATTTTCATGCACTCTTTTGAAAAAGTACTTCAATTCAAACGTACTGCTGTACTACGAAAGTAATGTAAACATTTTACAATAATTGCATTAATCATTTCTAAAAAAAAGTTCAAATAATATTGGGTGTACAAATGAGTCTTTGCCGTTTTTTTTTAATTTTTGAATGTTTATTGTGAAAAAATGGTTACATATTTATTCTTTAGGGTATTGTCCATCGCTAACCACTACTTTTTCCCATCTTTCTGGCAGTATACGAAAAACAAAGTCGAAGATCCCACCATTTTTCGGGACAATTTATGAATAGACCAATTTTTCGAGTTTTTGAAAAAAAAAATCCTCCACTTAGGTGATTTTGAATCGTCTGAAACAAGTGGTAGTCAGAAGGCGTATTGTCTGAAGAATACAGCGGGAGCATGGCGGGTATTCGAATTCAACTGCTTCTTAGAAATTTTTGACATTTTCGGTGAAAAGTCGCTCAAAAATTTTGCCTCGGAAAACCAATTTTTTGGGGCATAATGCAAATTTTTCGATTTTGCTGTCCGAAATTGATATATAACGATTAGTTATTGTTGGGAACGATCAAATCTAACATTTCGATATGATTTTACCTCCGCACGATGCACCATATCTGCCCCACCCCCGCAAATATGGCAAATCGCCCAATTTCGAGCATTTTCGATGGAGTGATCGCAGCGCTAAGGGAGAGACACGAAACTTAAATGAGTAAAATTAGAACATTATTCAACGATAATAGGAAAAATAGAAGAAATTAGTGAGTTTGGTTTGCCAATGTTAACGCTTATGGACATATTGTTTATTGTTTACAAAATAGTTCCGTTAAGTCTTCTATAAGCGTTGTATTGACAGTGTAATACGCTCTGCAAGCGATTTTACTAGAAATAATAGCACAATATTAGCACTTTTGCACCAAAACTAGAGAAATTAGAGGACTTCAAGCAAAAAATACATAAAATTGAGTGTAACTAGACTCTAATAGAATTCATGTCTCGCCCCTAGTCGCAGCGCCATCTATAACGTCAATCAAAATATGGTTTTTTATGCTTGAGTCTATCGAGAAGGGTCCATTCTTCATCAGTGTGAACCCGATACAAGAATAATCTTTTTTTCACAATTTTTCCGTGTGAAAAAAACAGCTCCCGCAAATGACGTTTACTCACTCAGAAAAGAATTAATACGATTCACATATACCAATGGTGATCTGATCGCCACTCTCGCCAATAGTAATGATGGTAATTTGACAGATCACCATTGGTATATGTGAATCGTATTAATTCCGTTCTGAGTGAGTATTTGGCCCAAAAACCGACATAAACACGCAGAGTAAAATTTATGATGCCGATAAAAATTCACAAATGTAATAATGAGGAGTTGTTGACAAATGTCTAAGCTTCCGATATGACGTTTCTGACATGTGACTTTTGCCCAGCATTTACTAAGGATTAGAATTTTCTTAACACAAAGATCTTAAACCGAATTGTGTAAGTTTCCCAGGGGATTTGTAGATTGAAGCACACTAGCGCCGCAGTTTGCCCTACAATATCATATACGGCAAGCGGCAGAGCTATTCATTCAGTATATATCATGCAGCTCAACTGTCAATCTGTAATCCCCCTGAAATTTCCAAATTATATGGCTTTGTTGTTTCAGAAGCAATTTCCCTTCCTCATTGTGTTTCACAAAACCAGGAAGAAAGAGTTACGTCTGAATTGCGTAACTGAATATTGATAAATTTCACACAAGTGTGCACATAATACAGTAGCTAATTCAATCATTCTATTCATAGCAAATAAACAAAAATATCCGTTATTAGCGTAGCTGTATGATGAAACCTCTTTTTTCTGAATTCTTTCTGAGCAAACATAGATATGAGACACAAAAATAGTTTTTTTTACGTAAATGAAAAACAGATATAAAAGAACGAAAAGCGTCATAAACCCGTGGTCCGAAAAGCGTAATACAAAACACGTGAAACAAACACAGTTTTTCAAATTTTGTCCAAAACAAAAACATATTATGCATTTGCTATATAAATCGGAAGTCTATTAAAAATTCATCACTTTTCTTCAATTCTGTGCCAAGTAACATCAACATGAATAAAAAGGTTAGTCCAACGTATTTGCTTTTATTTAATTATTTATTATTATTATCATCAATAATTTTGAACTTTTCTTAAAGTTTCTTGTGAAAATTATGCTGACCGCTGTGGCATTTTCGAATATTCTAACAATTTTTGTGCAATTTTCAATTCATTCTTGGTTTGAAACGTCAAAATTGTTTGATATTCTGGGAAATGTGAATGAGTCTTCGAATCAAGTGTTTGATGTTCCCGAGTTCAAGTATTTAATTTCCAAACCGAAATGCAGTCGTAACAGTTCAGCTCCATATTTTGTCACGTTGGTGCATTCATCGCCGACGCAGTTTGAAAGACGGGCTGCTTGCCGAGATACGTGGGCACATTCGGATCCACGAACGAAAACCTATTTTCTGATGGGAATGGTTCAGTCTTCGTCACTTCAGAAGAGAATCAACGAAGAAGATGTACGATTCAATGATATCATTCAAGGCAATTTCGTTGACTCTTATCGTAATCTGACGTACAAACACACAATGGCCTTGAAATGGTTTTCAGATAATTGTCCCCATGTCAAGTATCTGCTGAAACTGGATGATGACGTCTTTGTGAATGTTCCAGCCGTTCATGAATATTTGTTGAACAACACAGACCAAGTAGCGCATTTACATGGCCTCACAAATATTCGTCATCTAGTTCAACGCAGGGGAAAGTGGAAAGTGAGACCTGAAGAATTTAACGGTGGTATATATCCAGATTTTGTATCAGGTCAATCGATCATTTATTCGAGAGATTTTGTGCATGAGGCTTTCAAAAAGACATTCACAACACCATATTTCTGGATTGATGATGTTTATGTAACCGGGATAATTCGAGAAGAACTTAATGCCACAATCAAACCGATTGGCCACCTAAAATTGAATGGCGATAACCTGAAGAATGTCTTGAAAGGCAAGGTTACAATATTACCGGAGCCCATGTTTATGGTCAGCGTTCATAATCGAAGTTACGATGATATGACTAAACTCTGGGAAATCACGAAACCATACAGAGAAGCACATACACATGCAGTGGCGTAGCTGGAAGAAAATTTCGTTTTTTTTTTCGAAAAATGTGAAATATGCAAAATTGATATACATTTTTGTATTAGTTGTTTATTATTCATAAAAAGGCAGACAAAAGTATCATATTTTTCTTCATAAGAGTAATCTTCTATTTTTTTCGGCAAACTTACTAATAACTTCTTCAACAGAAATGAGAATTTCTCGATGAATGCTTAAATGAGCTAAACCATTTAAGCGGGTTTCGCCTATGGCGTTTCGTAAATACGTTTTTATTCGTTTTAATGTAGAAAAACTACGTTCTGGTGTTGCTATGGTTACCGGCAAAGTAGCACACATTTTTAGAATTATACGTGTGTTTGGAAATATATCATGGTCACAAAAATTCAACGCATCAATGAAATTTTGCGGTCGTTCATCTGAGCCAACCCATCTTTGCTTCCAAAGCAATACTTCTTTCTTTATAATATTATCGTTTATAATTATGATATCTGGCCATTGAATTAGAATAGCATCAATACTTTCATTAATTGCGTGTTCATCCAAATTTATTATCGTGTTTGGTAAGATATTCTGGATTTTTGACAGAATACCTTTATGTTTCAAGAAACGCAGTTCAAGTTGAGTAATGAAGTGATCAACGAATGGAATGAAAACTGCTACGCGATAATAACCTTCTGGATTATTTAAATTATAATTTGCACGATAATTTTGTCGACTTGCAATTCTTGGAACTTTAATTTCACCTCCGATCTCTTCTGCACAATCTTCAGCGATAGAAAATAAGTCGTGGAACTTAACATTTGCATTATCACGCATTTCGTTCAGCAGGAAATTTAAGCTGTCAGCCAGTCAAAGTCAGCAAATTTGTAACTGCGGCATTTGTTGGTTATCAAGCGCATGAATTGACCGACGGATTGATGGAAAATCAGATCGTGCCATATCAAAAACAAATTCCATATCCACCACAAGTTCCATATCCGTATACCAAACCGGAAGAAGATGATTTGGGCGCAAACGAAATCGTTTTGATTCTGCTTTTGATCATCGTTGCTCTTTTGCTGTTGGTTCTGGTCATCGTAGGGGGATCAAAGTGCATTTTGTATATCGAAAAACGTGCCGTAAAACTCTATCGAGATCAAAATGAATAATTAGAGGTGAATTAAATTGACTAACATATGGAGTAAATTCGTTAGTACTAAGTGAATATATTTTTCTATTCTAGCACCCGTGCTATCCGTCCATTGCCGAATGGAACGAGCTAAAAATGTTCTGAATTATTGTCAATCAAACAATCGAACAATCGAAAAATCGAACAATCAAACGTCAAATCTATGTGCAAATATGATGATTGAATAAATGTCATAAAAGAAATTGTCCGTGTTATCATTTTGAAACAGTAAATTTTATTTCCCAGTGGGCGAAGCGAACTGAAAATTTCGAAAACATTGCATACAGAACTTTGAAAAATTGTAAAAAAAAATTAGCACCCATTTTCAGTTGAATATCTTTTTTTCTTCCGCATTTGATTTCGGGGGGGGGGGGGGGTTTTAAACCCCAAACCCCCCCCCCCACAGCTACGCCACTGTACACATGGAATGTCATAAATATTTTAGATCAATTTTTATTAATAAGTTTTTGGTGTAATTAAAAAAATTGCAATAAAACTAGTATTCTACTTGTATTTCATCCACTCTTCTTTTTTGAAAAATATTTGAATTCAAAAAACGAATACAATACTGGAAAAAAAATTAATCACTCTATAGTTGGTTCAAATCAAATACAGAGTTTTTGTAATGAAGACCTTCCTTTTTTGCGAGGATTGCGACCAAATCGTGTAAATTTTCAAATTTATGGCTTTGTGATTTTATGTGATAAAAAATATCAGGGATTTCAAACACAACAATGAATGAAGCCAATTGATAATGAGATCAAATCCAGCATTAGAACAATGCAATTTTTTGGGGAGGTTTTTGTGATTTTTTGGGGAGGTTTTGGTATTTTTTTGGTGTTTTTTGGGAAGGATTTTGTGGAAAACATTTGCTTTTTTGAGGAGGTTTTTGTATTTTTTGGGGAGGTTTTTGTATTTTTTGGGGAGGTTTTGGTATTTTTTGGGGAGATTTTGGTATTTTTTGGGGAGATTATGGTATTTTTTGGGGAGATTTCAGTATTTTTTGGGGAGGTTTCTGTTTCACCCATTTGTTACTTTCACTTGTTATGAAAAAGTTGCTGCAAAAATCGGCTAGAACTAAAAGTCAAAATACTTCTTTCTTTACATCTATTTCAATTCCAATTTATTTGTGTTTTATTTCATACAAAAATTAAGTTTAAATCTAAAGTGGTAGTCACGAATTGATTGCATGGCAAAAAATGGTTATTTTACAATAAATTCAAAGTAGAAATGGTTTCAACGGTATGAAATTATAAAATCAGTTTAGAGGAGAAATTGAACGTTGTTATTCGTATGGTTGAAAGAATGAGAGAAATTATCTTTCTCTCGGTGTTATTTTAGCTTCGATTATTCGAATACAAGAGCATTGTGATATACACGCTACTAATTTTTGCCGTCGAGTTGTGTGACAAATCATCGGGCAAATAAAAAAATATTTTATAAAATCAGTTAATGTTAGAGCTATTTGAAGGAATTATGGGAAGTTGTTCGTCATTTTGATTTTTTTAATAAATGGTTTGTGTGATTTATTACTTCTCTAAACGGTGAAAGGTTTTCATGTGTTTATTGGCACTACTTTTACATGCAAAGCAGGCATTACATTTATTGCATTGAATCCTTTCTCCGGTGTGATCTTTTCGCATGTGAGTCCTTAATTGTTGTTTGTCTCGACAATACTCTTCACACAAACAGCACTGATATTGATGGTAGCGACAGCTTTGTTCATGTGCAATTTTGCCATCTTCGGTTGCATATCCGCTGAAGCACTTGAAGCATCGAAATGGGAACAATCAAACAAACATCACACTGAAATGGTTTCTCTCGAGTGTGGATTCGCAAGTGTCGTATGCGGTGGGACTTACAGTCTTCCAAATGATTACACACATGACATTTGTGTTTTTTTTGCTTTTTGGCCGATTGATTTCTGAGAATCGTTCGTTTGTTCTTCTTTTTGGAGCTTCCATTCCGTTTTTTTCCGATGCCAACTGGTTGCGGTGGTTGAACATCGATTGCGTCACCCATCAAGTCTTCGTTGTCATCATTGTCGTCCGCACTCTCATTCGATCGTTCACATGGTGTCGAGCCTTTTCTTCTGCCCTTATCCATATCTCCTTCTTCTTCGCATTTGATTTCATCCTTCACCACATCAAAATCATATCCAAATTCAAAGACCCTTCGTAATTCGCACGATACCTTCTATCAACACTCGGTCGTTATATATCAATGACACCTTCTTCGTTGCATTCTTCCTTAATGCCGGGCTCTTGCTTGATTTCCACGTTTCTACACTTTGACTTGCGCTTACAGCGTCTACCAGAACCACCCTTGAACGGGTTCATTTCTAAAGCATTCGACAGAAAACTTCGAAAATTTAACATTAATAAATGAATTGACTCAATGAAAAACACACACCGTGGCAGCATGTACATATACCAGGCGACATCTTTTCAAATAATAATGAACTCACTCATTCACACACAATCGAGCGGTATGTGTTAAAACAGTATAATGAGTGAGTTGAGTATTACGCGAAGAGATCTCGCCTATGGTATATTGCTCTTTGCTGCCACGGTGTGGAAAAACATGTGCTCGGCGTGTGCATAGCAAAGAGAAAACGCACACCAAGTATTTTTACACAGATTTTCTTAGGTTGAGTGTCGTCAATTTCCATGAAAATTCAAATTATTTTCATTTGAACAGAATCGAATTATTATAAGCCTAACATCGAAATAATAAAAATTGCCCAACACTTACTGTGTGTTTGTCGATGCTTTTTTCCTGTTGAAAATGGAATCGGTTTTTGTATCACCAATCGTCTTTCAAAATGTCTGTTTCACTCTGTCGCTTTCTGTACAATGAAAATACTCAGTTCAACATACAGCATCGATGCTGCGACTCACACTCACACACTTGCTCCTATCTCAATTAGTAGCTGACTTATGAGCAAATTCAAAGCTCAATTCAGGCATGTCGGGTATATTCACCCGATTTTTTTTATTCCAGTCAAAATCCCAATTTAATTGAAGTTATTTTTTTGGAATTACGATTATTTTACCATTCGAATCATGTTTTCTTAATGTTTGGGCAATGATTTATTTTAAATGCCCTTTGAACACCCGAGATTTCATCATACGCCTTCGCTTCGTCGATACATAAACACAATAAAAAGAATTACATTGGTAATCCCGAACTTTTCCGTACCAATGGCCTGCGTTGTCCGTAGGTACTTTTGGTTATTTTTTGTGAATTTTCTTGAAATAAAGGCAGGGAAAATATAATAATAAAAATAAAGTGAAAAATCGGTCACTTTAACTAAAACTTCGACAATTTTGTATGAGAGGTACCCGGAAACCAATTCTTATTGGCTTTAAACTTTCTGAGGTTTCGTTTTTTGGAGAAAAAATAAGATTCTGAAAGTTTCATGTTGATCGCATTTGCAGAAGTTTGGTTATTGACCCTCAATTTTTTCCGAAAAAATTTCGACAAAAATTGAGGACAAAAAATCAAACTTCTGCAAATGCAATCAACATGAAACTTTCAGAATCTTATTTTTTCTTCAAAAAATGAAACCTCAGAAAGTTTGAAGCCAATCGGAGTCGATTTACGGGTACCTCCCATACAAAAGTGTCAATTTTTTGAGATTTTTCTAAGGGCAAGTACCCCAGGATCAAATCGAAAATGGCTCATCTTCGAACTTAAACTAAGTTTTTTGGATACACAACTTTTGGCATTTCCAGATTTTGATTATCTCAATTATTTTTTGAGTTATCGTGTTAACAAACAGCTACGACGACAACGACAACGACAACGACAATAACGACGACAACAACGACGGCACACGAACGGAAAAGTGTCTCAAAAAGTGGTTTTCTACGCGTTTCATGAGTTTTTATGATGATCTAAGCTAATTTTGCGAAAAAAGTTTTCGGGACCAATTCCTATACTTTCCCTTGACACGTTGTGTACGGAAAAGTAATAAAAACAATTGGTTGTCAGATAACAATAAACGCATTTCTTATGTTCATTTATATTAAAAATGTATTTAGTTGAATATTATCAGTATGAACATCTGGATTAAAATTTTTCGTTTTTTTTTAATTTCTCATACTCCACCGAATGTGGAAGAAAAACGCTTGTTTGACATGGACAGTGAGCTTGAGACGGCGATATATGTATGAATCATAATGCATGTGATTACAAATTGATGTCCTGCACAACGAACGAGTTCCATAACAATATTAGGTACATTTCAACAAATGAATTTCTTGTATAAAATATCGCGATACATTAAAAATCCAGTAAGTCAAATTAAATCACATTAAAAAAAAACCTTATCAAACTCTCGTATGCGCAATGTGCATACAGCGTTGGTTGGTGTTCCGTGATATGCTTTATCTCTCACAAAAAATTTATCAAACTTAATTCTTGTGACGTCCCGATAACATTAATGGTGATATGCATTAAGCGACGTCATTTCGAAGATTTTGTGCTACTATGTTCTCTGCTATTACATTAGTCAACGTTTTATTGCGAGCCGAGAAACATCGTCATGAGCAAAAATGGTAGGTCCAATATAGATTTTCTATTTATTCTTCAATACTAATTTTGACTTGAGCTTAAAGTTTATTTTTTTAGATTATTAAATAAAATTTGTGATTTTTTCCTTCATCGGTGTTACACATTTTGATTTGTTTGGATCATTTTTCTGAATTTATCGTTCTTTGACATCAACTTATCAACTTTTTCTTTTCAATTCATTAGATTTATCGAAATTTCTATTTGAGTTTAAGTTTAAAATTTTCGCTTACATTTATTAATTCATTATTTTGTTTGCCCAAAGTCTCTCGTGCGAAATGTGCTGATCGGTGCGACCGTTTTGAATATTTTAATACTTCTGTTGCAATTTTCAAGCAATTCTTTGTCGGAAAAGACAAAATTGTTTGATATTCCAAGAAATGTGAATGAGTCTCCGAATCGAATGTTTGATGTTCCAGAGTTCAAGTATTTAATTTTCAAACCGAGATGCAGTCGTAACAGTTCAGCTCCATATTTTGTTACATTGGTGCATTCATCACCGACGCAGTTCGAAAGACGGGCTGCTTGCCGAGAAACATGGGCGCATTCGGATCGCCGAACGAAAACTTATTTTCTGATAGGCATAGTTCAATCACCCACTCTCCAAAAAAGAATCAACGAAGAGGATGCACAATTCAATGATATCATCCAAGGGAATTTCGTTGACTCGTATCATAATCTGACGTACAAACACACAATGGCATTGAAGTGGTTCTCAGAAAATTGCCCTGACGTCAAGTATTTGCTTAAGCTGGATGATGATGTCTTTGTGAATGCTCCAGCCGTCTATGAATATTTGTTAAACAATACAGACCAAGTAGCGCATTTACATGGCATCATAAATAACCGTACAGTTCAACGTGATGGAAGATGGAAAGTTACATCTGAAGAATTTTCCAATGACCTATATCCAGAATATGTAGGAGGAGCATCAGTTATTTATTCCAATGATTTCGTGTATGAGGCTTTAAAAAAGACATTTACAACACCATATTTCTGGATTGACGATGTTTATGTGACCGGAATGATTCGTGAGCAACTTGATGCTACGATTAAATCCATTGGCCACCTAAAATTGAGTGGCGATAACCTAAAGAAAGCCTCGGAAGGCAACGTTACAATATTAACGGAGCCCATGTTTATTGTTAGTGAACATGATCGAAATTACGATGATATGATTAATCTCTGGGAAATCACAAAACCATATAGAAAAGCCCATCTATATGGAATGTCATGATAATTTGCGCGAACGCATCCATCGTCTATCAAATGTCTTTATTCAATTCATGAATATTTGTAATCAAAAGTATCGGCAATGTGATATCGTATGAAGACTGGGATTGAAATAAAACTGATAAATAATTGGAAATCGATTTCAATTGGTTATTATATTGTAAATAGAGATCAATATCCGCTTTAAAACTGAAATACTTATTGGAACAAAAAATTATTTACAAACTCGATTAAGAAAAATACAGTGCTAATTTTATCAGTAGAACACCTTTCATTTTCTTCGATTCACAAAGAAAATTGCTGCAAAAATACGTTGAAAATAAAAGTCAACAAACATTCATATGTTTTATCCAATTTATTTCTGTTAAGTTTTGTCCTAAAATGAAGTGTAAATCTCAAGTAGTGTTCATGATCTATTTGTCTTAAAAATATTGTTCGGGCTAAACATGTTTTCTTACCTAAGAAACCCATAAAAACAGTCTAAAAGAACTAAATTAAAATAAGACGTAATAAAACGCAACGGAGTGATATTTGGTGTGTGTTTATTCAGCAAAGCCGTGTATGGTACTACTGATACATTCTAAACTTAAAATCTAGTCGGGCGATCGCTGCATCGCTTGGTGCGGGCGATGACGTCAGACACAGTCGCTGCGGCCTACCAACATCTTGCCTTTTGGTGTTGGAGCGACATGCCTGAACAAATATTGAATGTAATTTTAATCAAAATGATTTTAGTTCCGGGAATTTGGAGCCATACAAGTGTTATTAATCGGTTTTAAATAGGGTTTAAAAACACGTTATTTTTTTCAGTGTTTCCCTACATTTTAAACAACGAAATTGGTCATGCATTTTCTTATGACAATTCCAAGTATCTTTCCGTGACTTCAAACAAACATCACACTGAAATGGCTTCTCCCCAGTGTGGATTCGCAAGCGTCGTATGAGAAGGGACTTTCGATATAGTGAATGATCGCACAAATGAAATTTGTGCTTCTTTTGCTTTTTGGAGACTTGATTTCTGGGAATTGTTTGTTTGTTCTTCTTTTTGACGTTACCATTCCGTTTCTTTCCGATGCCAACTGGTTTCGGTACTTGAACATCGATTGCATCAGCCAACTCGTTCTCGTTGTCATCATCATTCGTGACGCTCTCATTTGATCGTTCACATAGTGTCGAGCCTTTTCCTTTATCCTTGTTTACCTCTCTTTCTTCTTCACATTTAACCTTTTGTTCGTCTTTCGGTTTTGCAACATATTTCTGTCTCTTGGGGCACACAGTGTATGTATTTTATATGAAAACTGGACTGCGATAAGAGATAACGATTTGTTTTCTTCAGCAAAGTTATAGTACTCTACCTGCTCTACAACTTTACAGAAGGCACTATCACGTTATCTCTTATCAGTTCCACGAAAAACCGCGAAAACGCGAATAATCGCCAACTCATTTTTAACGGAGATATGAGATATCCAATTTCAGCAAAGTTGTAGAGCAGGTTGAGTACTACAATTATTTTTCTTCTTCTTTTCTTCAGTCGACATTCCTTTTGCATTTTTGTTGATCGATTTGCTGTCTATTTTTTTACATGGATCCATAAAAAATCATGAAATCAATAAAATTAATATCAATTCCAATTTTTTTATAATCAATTATAAAATTTAGCAAATAAAAAAAGGCTCGTCAGAAGTGAGGCCTATGCCTTCTAAGAGATTGTAGTTTAATGTAGCGCTTTAGTACTCTCCACCATCGCAGCATATGAATTTTGTTCAGCACATATTAACAAATCACATATTACACAGTGCAACAAAATTCGCTAAATTTTTTGCGTCTCTCCAAATATTATTATTTTCTGATAGGGCACCTTAATACGAGTCCAAATCAATCTTAAAAACCATACTATATTGTGCTTAAATTTTTTTTTACCAACATCCAATTTCATAGCTCTGACGTAGTTGTGTAGCAGAAGAAATCTCTGTTTTATTGCGCATTTTTTGCTGGGTGAACATCGACATGGATCAAAAGAATATTTTTGAATGTATATTAAACACATTAAATAATCAAACACAGATGTCCAGACCACTTGGTCCAGACTTTGTCCAAGAGAAACAAGAGATGCATTTGCTATATAACTCGGATGTTTTTCACATGTATACTCATAATTTTTTCACTTCTGTACTAAGTAACACCAACATGACTAAAAAGGTAATTTTTTCATTTATTAATACATATTAATATCATCAATAATTTCGAATTGTTCTTAAAGCTTCTTGGGAAAATTCTGCTGATCGCGGTGACATTTTTGAATATTCTAATAATTTTTGGGCAATTTTCAACCTATTCTTTGCTTAAAAAGTCAAAATTATTCGGTATTCTTGAAGATGTGAATGAGAATTCGAATCGAATGTTTGATGTCCCCGAGTTCAAGTATTTAATTTCCAAACCGAGATGCAGTCGTAACAGCTCAGCGCCATATTTTGTCACATTGGTGCATTCATCACCGACGCATTCCGAAAGACGGGCTGCTTGCCGAGATACGTGGGCACATTCGGATCCACGAACGAAAACCTATTTTCTGATGGGAATGGTTCAGTCTCCGTCACTGCAAAAAAGAATCGACGAAGAAGATGCACGATTCAATGATATCATTCAAGGGAATTTCGTTGATTCATACCACAATCTGACGTACAAACACACAATGGCCTTGAAATGGTTCTCAGAAAATTGTCCCGATGTCAAGTATTTGCTGAAACTGGATGATGCCGTTTTCGTGAATGTTCCAGCCGTCCATGAATATTTGTTAAACAATACAGAAAATGGAGTGCATTTACATGGCTTCAGAGTGAATCGACTAGTTCAACGCGGTGGAAAATGGAAAATGACACGTGAAGAATTTTCCGATGACCTTTATCCAGAATTTGTAGGAGGCGCATCGGTTATTTATTCCAATGATTTTGTGCATGAGGCTTTGAAAAAGACATTTACAACACCATATTTCTGGATTGACGATGTCTATGTGACCGGAATAATTCGTGAGCAACTTAATGCTACGATCAAATCTATTAACTACCTAAAATTGGGAGGCGATAACTTGACGAAAGTCTTAGAAGGCAACGTTACAACATTACCGGAGCCTATGTTTATTGTTAGTGAACATGATCGAAATTACGATGATATGATTAAACTCTGGGAATTCACGAAATCATACAGAAAAACCCAACCACATCGAATGAGATGAAGTCCTGACCATTTGCGTGAACGCATCCAAGTACGCATTCTTAGTATCAAAAGAACCAAAATAAGACAAATTAAAATATTTCTTACCAGTTCAAAGAAAAAAGTGGACATTGAGTTTACTGGTTTTAAGTATCTCAGATGAAATGATCAATCGTTCAGTTAGTATCATTTAAACATAATCTTTATTATATGTGAATAGAGAAAAATGTTTTTTCATTCAATTGCTAATCTATGTTGAATAGTTTAAAATATAACTTGCATCGATCAACAGAAATTGTAACAATAGTTTGGGACAAAAAAAAATTAAAACCATGAATTGTATGTGTTCATTGTTCATTCACATGCTTTTGATGGATCGAAAACTCGTTAGTGTGTGTGTGTATGTTTTTTTTTCTCTCAAATTTATCTGTTGATTGATCAAAGTTCCAAGAACGAAATAGCTATCGCAATTGTATCGATTCGCATTTGACATCTGAGTGATACTATACATTAGGTTATTTACATACAAACATTTACATGAATTGTTGCTGATTCTAATCATAATAGTGAATTGCAAACCCTCACAAATAAAATTTTCTTTCAAGTGAAATTGCTGGCTACAACACAGATTATTGTTACATTTCGATTCTGACTTATTTTCTAAAAAAACAATATATTTTTAACATTTTTTTTTATTGTTGCTGTTGTTGTTTATTCCATTCAAACTTTACTGCTATTCCTTTGCATACTCTAAAACTCTTGTTCTAAGTAAATTTGTGCAAAAGAATTGAACTAATGCGCTTCGTTTTATTGGTAGATTGCATAGATCATTGCACATGCTTAGGCTTTTCCTTGGATGGTGGCTGGGCCAGGGTTTTGATTAGAACCTTCGCTTTCCTTCTCCAATTGTTTGCCCAAATATTCCCTGTAAAATGAAACATGGTGTTAGAAATGAGTTTGCTGAAGTTGCTCCAAAGAAGTGTTTGCGTCTTATATGACTAGGAAACACTTGTCTTGTGAGTAAACATACCAGTTATGGACCATAAGTTTCTGCACAGCAACCAATGCTTCATATCGGACGTTTGGATCTTCGTGGCTCAAAAGTTGCATTACCAATTGTTTACCGCCAAAGTGTTCGATTAAGCTAGAAAAACACATTTTTCAGAATAATATTTCTTAAGAATCTTCTAATGTATCGTAAATGACACTCACTGTTTTCCTCTTGGGTTATGGCGTACATATTCACCGATATCATAGCTTGCAACTGCCAAAACCAATGGATCCTTCGATACTTCCAAGAAGTGAATCAATGTACGCAACAGATCGTAATTCTTTTCATTCAAACGCAAAGCATTTTCACGCCAGAATTTAGCCGATTTATGCACTGGTGACCATTCCAAACTGTAACACAAACGGAAATTCATCGAATTAGCGAATCCAATAGGTTCCCCTCATAATAAATCAAAGTAATCTTAAAATTTAGAATAGTTCTTCTTACCGTCCACTCTTAACTTCAGTGGCGTACTCATCGAATGAGCTCAAATCTTGAACGGAGCTGTGTAGTTTTTCGGACAAGTATTCAACATCACCGGTAATGTCTTCGTCATCGAAACGACGTTGCTCCAAAATCGACAACTGCTTCAATACCTTGCACTGAACCATGGCAATGCAATGCTCCTTTGAAATATTTGGATCGGTTGGCTTTTCGATCAAATTACGATAAACCGCCAAAATGATGCGTGTCACTTTTTCCTTAGCCGAATCGTTCAAAATGCTGGCCAAAATCGGGATCGCATTGAATTTATTCATCTTTTCAGCCAACAATGGGTTGAATGTCAACACCCACAAACAGAAAATCAATTGGTATTGAACCTAAAATGGGAACAAAGGTATTTTGAAAATTGGTCCATAATTTTCGAACAAAAATTTAAATTTAAAAATAAATAAATAAATTGAATTGATATCTACCGAAAAACATACCTGGAAGTTGACACGTGATGACAAAATGCTCAACAATGTGCTGATTCCGTCGACCGAAACGAATGCAAAGCGATAATCGTCTAAACGTAACATCATCTGCAAACATCTAGCAACCGATTGGATGTACTCGTTGCTCTGGATATTTTGAATTTAAAATTTGATTAAAAAAAACAAGAAAAAAAACAATTAAAAAATGAATTGGCTGGAGTCAGAGGCGGTTAGTAAAATGTATCGGTCTTCAAAAAAAAATTCCATCGAAATGGATGGTTTAAAGGAGTTATTTGTAGAAATTTCGAAATATCCAAAAAAAAAAGTTAATAAAATGCATCATTAATTTGTATATCAGTCTCTGGCTCTTATTTAAACTCGTCGACAATTTTGCAAAATTATCGCTGATAGGCGATTTGATATAGATATAAAAATTGCATAAAAGAAAACTCCGTACCCGAAAAAGAAACAAATTTAAAATAAAATCTCAAAAAAATTTCACCTATTGGCTTCAACGGCAGTCTAATGAAACTAAAAGCATTTTAAAAAACGAACAAACATGGGGAATGTAACAATTCGGTTGAGACGAAAATAAACGTACGTATAAAAAACCTTTCGGAAACAGTCAAGGATATGGTGCTGAACCAATTTTTGAAAAATCTTCAAAAATATAGAACAAAGAAGATAAAACGTGTTCCAAAAAATCAACAATCGGAATGGCAATGAAACTAACTAGCTAGATAACTAAAAGCTGAGACTAGATCTGGAACGCCTAAAATACATATATGGTATACTTAAAATGTCTACAATTAATGGCATAAAACTAGGAGAAAAAAAATTTCCATAAATTTACAAAGAAAAAAAAAACAAAAGGATAAAACTACCGATAGGGGTTTCGGAACAAGCGGTGGTGATGATGCACGTTGATCGCTGCCCGAAAGCAGACTGTACCGTTCGTTATTTGTCGATTGGGCTTGTGGTGGTTGCTGTTGAAACTGCAGTTGTTGCTGTTGCAATGCGTGTTGATTACGATTTGCTTTGGCTTTTTCGGCCATCTCTTGCAAGTATTGCTTGGCCTATGATGACCATTTGGTTTGTTTGAATATTTTGATTGCGTCATTGGGTAAGGATTGAATACGTGTATGTGTGTGTGAATTGGGTGTGTTTGGCACCGGCAAAAAAATTAGTGGAATTTTTTTTTATTTAAATAACAAAATTCTTTTTTCTTTGTCAAAACAACAAAATTAAGGTAGAAAAAAAGAAGAAAATTAAGCGAAATTTAGCTGTTTACACACGCTGAACAAACGGATAAGATACAAAAAAAAATTAAACACGTATGAAACTTACTGCAAAGTCAAACAACACAAAAATAGTGGAAGAGTGAATTAGAATAGTAATAAATTGTTTTGTGCGCAAAGATTTGTCCGGTGAAATGATAGAGGCAGATATTAAGCGTAAGACTTTGGCACTTGTCGACAGTGTAAATTTCGAATGAACAGGCTAGATAATATATGTAAATGGTGTTTGTGTGTGTGTATTATCGTTTGAAGTTCGTGCTTCAGCTTTGACTGAACATAAACACATAGGTTGAATTGGTCAAGCACATTCACATGCTTGCCTCAAACATGATATCAGTTGGTCGATTTAGCAACAATCAATTACAGCATTGGTATTATTTTTTTTTTGTTCTTCTGAAAGGGTTATTCGACGACGTCAATACAAGCTACTCACACATAAAATGCAATGGAAAATAGTGTGCAACAAGCTACAAATGAAGGCATTTCACATCGGTTAGTGGTAATTTCAACTTGGCTTAGAAATTATTTTATACGAATTCAAAATAGATTTTAGACATTTTCAGCACTAGGCATACATATTTACGGCTACACATATTGCAATCTACTGAGAGGAAAGAATACAATCAAAATTCTACAACTTAATCTAAAATTCACAGCGATTAGGTTAGTTACAATTTAAAAGAGAAGAAGAAAATAGCACAAACTATTTTTCAAAACTGTCGTCTGACCAAAGACAAACAAATTGGCTTTTCTTTCGGTTGAGAGTTAGAGCTAAACATAAAATCGAATTAGATAGCGCTAGAGAGCCATTCCCGATTATTTAGAGGCTTAATATGTACAGCACGGTATTTCGACGTTTTCGAAAGAGAAACGATGCGAATACGAAATTTTTACGTGTAAAACAAAACAATCGTTCATTTTGTTCCTGCTGCTTACCTTGATGGTGAGCTGATCCTTCAGCCATTGCAAGTAGAAGTGCAAATCGGCTTTTGGCATGAGCTCATGGCCCCAGCATGCCAATTTGGCCAAAATTCGTGACGACATGTTGACAATGAATCCATCCTGACGGTTCAACAGATTCAAAAATGGTCCCCACACACTCTCCTTGCGCTTGGCCGCATACTCATGGAAGATTTCGACACGTGAACGGTCCTCTTGCAGCAAATCGTCAATCATCACCAAAATGTATTGAATCGTTTGGTCCTTTGATACGTGCGACAATAGATTCAAAAATGTTTTGGCACATTGGCCGGGATTTTGCTGTAAGTACGTTGCGCGCTGATCACTATCCAATGCGCTAACACACAGATAATCCTCGTTGGTTATCATTTGCGATTGTGCATACGATTGCCAATTGATTTTATTCTGGCGAATATCACCAGCTTGTTGCTGCAAAACACTCGTCGCGGCAATCATGTCTGCAAAATAAATTGGAAACAAATCAAATCTACCGCTAAAAATCGATTCCAATTGGAATTTTTTCCTCGAGCAATTCAATGCGTAATATTGTTTTTGTACAGGTCTCGTGACGTCAATTTTCAGTCATTCGTCAAATCACAAATCATTTTTTTTTGCTAAAAAAATTCTATTTTCCATGGTTTACTCGATAAATTCGTCGAAATTTTAACGATTCGCCACAAGGACAAATCAAAATTTGTGTGGATAACAAAGAAAATCACATTTTCCGTGCACAAATGCCTTTTGTTTGACTTCAAAATATGTCATTCACAAACAACGTCAATATTCTCACCAATTTTATCGTCTGGCAACGATGAAATCAAATCTTGCACATTATTTGCCATTGTTCTGGATGTAATCGCTTCCCGTCCAAACGTGAATTAAATTCAATTGAATTTATCGGTGCAGAAAAAATTAGTTTCTATCTCGGATTTTTTTCTCGCCTTGCACGAACACACAACACTGTTTTGGGTTTTGTTCGAAATCGAAAATGTTCCTCAGCTGAGGGTCTTGTGACTTTTCCAACAAAAAAATTCACACGAACTAAGTGTGCACACACGTTCGCTGTCCGATAATGCACACGGATGACAGTTCACTAGCTCTTGTCATACACCAACTGCGAACGTACTAGAGCCAGCGAAGCTGTCAGTTGTCATCAGTGCACATCGGAGCATGAGTCTAGTAAACATGTTTGTGTTTTAAATGGAATTCAGTAGATTTATGTTTCTTTTATTGAAGTTCATGAGTTTGAATCGAATTAATTGAAGTGAATTTTGAATTGTTTGAATTCTCATTAAAAATATGAATTTCCACGAGTTGTCACTGCCTCAATCGAAGAAATTTTCGGCCGATTGCACATTCAAAGAGTTTCCAATTGATCGGATCCCAGCGAAAGACACCGATAAACAATTCACGGGTATTTTCAATGGATTAAGCGTTGAAATCATCGATGCAGATGCAATGAGGCAACTTTATTCGAATGGTTGCTTTGGACTCAGTTCAAAAACGAAAAATGTACCACAAATGCTTTACAATTGTCCGCGAGTGCCAAGTGTGACCCAATCACAATATGAACAAAAATCGGCATGGAATGACAAATTCACAAATCAAAACCCGAACCTAGTGATGATGAATCTATTGCAACCGGCTGAGAAAACAACAGTTGAAACCACCGAAGGCGACCAAATTGATGAAGAAGTTGAAGAGATTGAAGAAATGATTGACGCTGAAGAAGAAATCAAAGTCGATGAAGGGGAAAATAACGACGAGGACGAGGAGAATCAACCGATACAATGTGACGAAGTCAACGAAAATCCAAACCAACCAACAATATTCGAGACTAAGAAGGAGCCAGAGCTGAATTTGGTGGTCGACCCATTTCCCATTGAAGACACACTTGCTCTCTTCCCAGAAGAAGCATTCTTCTTGCACTTTTCATTGCGATGCTTGAACATTTTGGACTTTGACCAAACACATACATTCACAACCGAAGAAGCAGTGGAGAAATTTTGCAACATGAACCCGAAATTCATCGAGCGATACATAGTATATCATTTTTATCGAAGCAAAAGCTGGGTTGTCCGAAGTGGATTAAAGTTTGGCGGTGATTTTCGTAAGTAATTTTCGATGAAAGCCGTAGTTGCAACCTGTCCAATGAAATCAATTGAACAATTTCAAGATAAAATTAGATGGAAAATGTCCAAATATAGAAGTCGCTAAAAATTTCGATATTTTCATGCAGTTCTGTACTACAAGGGGCCGAGCTACTATCACGCGAGCTACGTGGTGCTAGTGAGTGACAGCAAGGATGAGACGAATAAATTGGACATGCAAAGTAATTACCGCGTGGCGGATACAACGAAAAAAGAACTTATACTGGCAAGCATAACCCGACCCAATGGCCTGGAATATTCCAATCAAACGGAGTGCCTGAAGAGATTGAATGAGTTCCAAATCACTGAAATCATCCCGAAACGTTTTACACTCAGTCAATTGACATCCACAAAACCTGAACCAATTTCAAAGTCTTATGAATTTTGTATGTGATAATTTTCAATCGAATAAAAAAAAAGATTAAAATCAATTTCAACTAGAAGTGGTTTCACTTACGCATTTCTTTTCGTAAAACAATTAACTTGAAAATAAATAAATAAGTAATTCTTTTTTCGACTTTGGCTTGACACGTGAAATACTGATGAGATTGCTCGGAAGCAAAAAAAAAACTAGAAATGTGTTCGAATGAGGCTCACAACGACAGATCATGTGAGTAACTGATTAAGTGGATTTAAATTTGGTGTGTGCATCGTTCGTTCAGCGTTAACATGTTTCAAATGATGTGTGATAGAAATATGTATACAATTTTGCTCTTGGACTTACTTTAATTTAGCACAAAAGATTCGTGCAATCATATTCAAACTAACACAATAAGAAGATGTGGTAGCATCTCATGTGATTTTCCATTTGATTTGCTCATTTGCTGAAATCATCGTATGAATTACGGTTCTATTCCTTTACGACCATCGTTTTATTCCATTTTGGCCTATCTCCAGCGAAACATACGGCTATTGCTCGTTTTCAATCGACCTCAATTGAGGCAAAGCGAGTGACAAATACAACACTAATAAATGCTTGTTGTCACGACATCCGCACATCGTGAACATCATTCACTGAACACAAATAGCAATACACACTACACAGTCGTGCCTGGACGTATAAATTATCAACACTTATTTAAATATATTTTATCAAAGTTTTCGGACAATTTTTGACAATCAAACATAATAAGATGAGATAGAAAGCGTCAAACAGAGGCATATAAAGAATAAGAAGTATTTTGATATGCAACATAAGTCGTCTTACGTCTTAGTAAGAAAATAATGTAAGTATGCTCAGTTTATTAATGACTACGGTCAGTAAAGGAGCTTGTTTAACTGGAATACTCGTTTGAATAATATTCTGGAGAAGTCAATTCGATTTTTTGTTAAGCCGAAGATGAAATATTATTTGTTTTTGATTGTTTTTTTTGTTGGTATCGAGCTTGGAAAGGGCATGGAAGATACAGGAGATGCAGATCGAAGAGGTACATCGTAATAGTGAATTAAAGAGTTCACAATTCAAAAAAGACTTTAGCAAGAGACAGAGAAAGAAAGAAAGACGAAGAGAACAAGAGAGAGAGAGAGAGAGAGAGATGAGAGACATTCGAAAGGTGGCTATAAGCAGTATTGATATTGAAAATATGGCATCAGTCAACACAAGGATAATCACCCGAAATTGGAAAATTCCTAGGACACAATAACTTTCGAACATCTTTAATATGTACCTTTTTTCTGTTATTTTGTAGTTAATAAGCCAATTTGGAATGAAACCTATGTCGATGCATTGAAACGTGACTTGTTAATGTCATACGATAAATTCGCACGGCCCACGCAGCACCACAACACCACAAAAGTGGCACTCAATCTGAAAATTAAACATGTCGACTTTGATGAAGCCACATCGGATTTCACTGTTTTTGCGTGGTTTATCATGGTAAAAAGACTAATAAAAATTATCTTCTAAAAAATAAAATACAACGAAATCATTTTGTGACCAAGTTTTTTACCTGTACATTTGTCATATTCTTTAAAAAAATTGTCTCGATTTTCGTAGAGTTGGAACGATGAAAAACTCAGATGGGACCAGTCGCTGTATGGAAATTTGACCAAGTAATGAAAACCACTTTAAATATAAAATTGCGTGGATTTTCAATTTCTTTTTCAAAGTTAGACTCAGTTTGGCGCAACATGAAATCTGGCAGCCGGATATTACGCTGTACAACAGCATTACGCATAACATGGACTACTACGGGACGGTAAATTGTTACGTTGAACCAGATGGAAATGTAACTTGGGTGCCACCAGCGACATTCAAGACATTTTGTGATTCGAGTCTTCGGTATTGGCCATTTGACAGCCACAAATGCACCTTATTATTTGGATCTTGGATATACAATGGCAATGAAATCGACGTGGTGCCGAAGAAAACCGATTCACATCTTGAAATGTTCATTGAAAACCCGGAATGGGAAGTAACAGACGTGAAAGTGGGACGTAGTGTAAACTTTTTTGCATGCTGCCCAGAACCATATGTAGATATACATTACAATATTACAGTAAATCGTCGCTCATCGATATACCATACAGTGATATTGGCACCTGCATTCGTTGTCATTCTACTTACCCTACTCACTTTTTGGCTACCGGCTCAATATAGCGAGAAAATCCTGTTGAACTGTGTCACGGCACTGATTATCGTGCTGTTCTTACTCTATTTTTCGCAGAAGCTTAATGTAATGGCATCACAAACTCCTTTGATTGGTAAGGGTCTTACCTTGAAATGAAAAAAAAGTTCAATTTTTCTTGATTTTTAGAACATTTTTATGAAAATATCGGTGCAACAATGGTTGAGGTTGAAATATTTTTAAACATTCTGTGTAATTTGTCTCCAGTTCTCTTCTACAGCCATACACTGTACATGGTGTGCTTTTCAACATTGATTTCAGTAATTGTGATAAATTTAACGCGATTGAAATATCAGAGAGCCTTACCATGGATCATCAAAAAGTATTTGGATGGAAAGTTGGGCGATATTTTACTACTGGATCACATTATCGATTCTGAGGTTTTTTTTAACTTTTCTAACATTTTTCTCATTTGGTTTTAGTTCTCTTTTCTTCAACATTTCAGACTGACCAACAGCGCCGTGCATCCGAGCTCCGTGAACATCCGTTCGATCAGCATTTATTAAATGACGAACAGCAAATCATTCAGCAATGTCGCGTTGGAAAGGGTTCATTGAGAAATGACTACTTGAAATTGGCCACAGCTGTGGATAGAATAGCTTTCATCGTATACTTTTTCCTTTTCACAATTTTTGGTCTAGCTTATTCGATCTGATCCGATTTTTACTCAGTAAACGAACCGAAGAATCCAGAAATCATCATCCGTAAGAAATAGAAAGAGAACTCAACAATACTGATGAAATAAGAACACTGGAATAGAATAGTGAACTCGTCTACTTCACAGAAATTATCCAAAATCATTTCACACTTGAAAAATTAACATTTTCAGTGCCATTAACCTGAGTTAATTTGATGGTCTCATGATTTTTGTCTGTGATAAATTTCAATGTAATAAAAAATCAATTCAAAACATCAGAACGTTCACTAACGCATTTCTTATTGACTCAAATCGTTCCCGTGTTACATATTGTTATTTTGGGCAAGAATCTATTGGCTTGAGCACTAAAAAGAGCCAAACTAATGGATAACTCAAAATTTTATACTTATTATTCCTAAGGGTTGTTGTTCAATGGCAGGGTCGCCGGATTGAAAAACTGATAAAACCGCTCTAAAATGAAAGCATCGCAAACTTTTGATGTAGTAAATAAACGACTATCTTAAAATTTTCCGCTTTTTGGTCGATTTGGCACTGAATACTTAACAGAAAATAGAATTTTTGGGAAATCTAACATGTGAATGAAGAAAACAATCAGCGTATTTTTCCATTTACATAAGATATTTTTCAAAATCGTTGATAAAAAATAATTTTGGGACAATTTGGGCCACAGATAACTTGACGAAGAAAAAAAGAATAAAATATTTTATCAAACATTATTCAGACTAATGCATGATTCAACACAATTCATGTGCGTTTAGATTTGCTGAGTTCATATGAATCACAGCTTTTCTTACTCTATTTCTCACTGAAGATTAATGTCATGGCATCACAAACTCCTTTGATTGGTAAGAATATTATTTTCGATTGATTTTCTTCTATGTAATTCGATTTTAATCGGAAACGATTTAATTCCACATATTCAATGCGTTAAAATAGCACCACTTAACTCGACTGGTTGGAACATTTCTAAACATCTTGTGTAATTTATTTTCAGTTCTATTCTACAGCCATGCACTGTACATGGTGTGCTTTTCAACACTGATTTCGGTGATTGTGATAAATTTAACGCGATTAAAACACCATTTGGATGGAAAGCTGGGCGATATTTTACTACTGGATCACATTAATGACTCTGAGGTTTTTTTTCATGAATTATTCCTAAATTAACACAAGTTTCCCCTTTTGCACATTTTTATAATTTTTTCCAAATTTCATCAAAACAAAACTTGAATTAAAAAAAAACACTTCATCCATAATATTTCAGCCTGACCAACAGCGCCGTGCATCCGAGCTCCGTGAATATCCGTTCGATCAGCATTTATCAAATGAAGAACAGCAACTCATTCAGCAATGTCGCGTTGGAAAGGGTTCATTGAGAAATGATTACTTGAAATTGGCCACGGCTGTGGATAGATTTCGTCGTATCCTTTTTCCTCTTTTCGGTTTATGGTATTGCTTATTCGATTTGAATTACATACCCACTAAAAATAGAAGCAACTAGGAATCATTACACCGGAAAGAATACGCAGAAGCAGAGTTCAAGAACAATTGATAAAACAAGAATTTGTACTGGAAATTAAACGGAACGATAAGAGAGAATGGACGAGTTTGAAATCATAATATCCAAATAATTTCACACACAATCACATCACAAAACATCTCCATAGGTTTGAGTCAACAAAAAGTTATAATTAAAATGAAATGTTCTAATTAAAGTCATTCTTAACATGTTCACTTACGGATTTTTTCATTAATTAATTGATAAATTCACAAGTAATAAATAGGTAAATAAACAACATTTTTTGTAATCTAATTCAAACTAATATATGACTCTACAGATTTCAGTGCTTAGCTTTGTCCATTCATTGTATTCATCTGAATTATCGCTCCATTCTCCATCAACAACGTTTCATTTTGTTTCAGCCTTATCCCATGCACAATGTGCTTACTTTCAATCGACTCAATTGCAACTTGAAGCAAAGCGAGTGAATGAAATATGACAGCCGCCCAAATAGATGCTCGTTGTCGCGACATCCGCACATATCGTGAATAACAAACACAACGACCAGAGCTGTGTTTGAATGTCTCGGCACATGCACACCACTTGTATCAAAGTTCTCTGACAATTTTCAACAATCAAGTAAAATAAGACGAGATAAAAAAGCGTCGAGCAATGCAAAGAGGAAGAGATAGTTTGAAATGCAAACTGTCTTGGTCAGAAATACAGTGCACGAACGCGCTCAGTTTATCTACAACTGCTGACCACAGTAAAGGAATTTCTTTTTGTCGCAATCAAAGAGTACAAAATTTGTTTTTCTTTCGTTTTGAAGAAGCAAATTTCAAATTTGGCTTGAATATGAAATATTGTTTACTTTTGATCGGTGTTTTTGTGAGTATCGAGCTTGGAATAGGCATGGAAGATGGAGGAGATGCAAACCGCAGAGGTAAAGTGCGAGTCAAGTGAAATGGTTGTTGATATTTCGAATTGAACCGAGTGAATTTTGATCATTTTCTAAAAATAAATGAAACGACTCATACTAATGTCCATACAATCAATAAGAAGTTTCCGGCTGTACACGTTCCATTGGCAACGCGCGCGCGCTCTCTCTATCTTATACGAAGCGTATATTGTGCACATTGGTGTCTATTGTTCGCATTAAAATACATCAGACCATTGAGTTTGATCAACTGTATGAGTTAATTTCATTAAAGTGAAGCCAGCAAATTTCGTATTAGAGAGCATTTTGTGCTACTTTTTCGCCTATAAAACGAGAATAAATACGTTTTCGGTATCTATCAAGATGGTTCTCGCTTAGTAGTAGTGATAATAAAGAAAAATGGCATCCTACGACGCAAAAATATCCACCAACAAAAATATTATCAACTGTTCGTTTTTTAATCGTTTCACTGCGCTGAAATGGATTCTGTTTTGTTACATTGTAGCTAATAAACCGATTTGGAATGAAACATACGCCGATGCATTGAAACGTGACCTTCTAATGTCATACGATAAATTTGCACGACCAACAGAACACTACAACACCACCATAGTGAAACTCGATTTGAAAATCAAACACGTCGACTTCGATGAGGCTACTTCGATTTTCACTGTTTATGCATGGTTTGCTATGGTAAATATCCTTGCTATATTTGGTTTGAACCCTTGATATCTAAGATATTTTCACTTCTTTCTTATATTTCTCTCTGATTTCTTAGGAGTGGAATGACGAAAAACTCAAATGGAATAAGTCACTCTATGGCAATTTGAGCAGGTGAAATGCAATTCAAACATTGAATCAATATTGTGTTGGATTTTCAGTGTGTTTTTGTTTTCAACTTCAGAATTGGATTGGCTCAACATGAGATCTGGCAGCCAGACATTACACTGTACAACAGCATCACGCATAATGTAGACTATTATGGAGCGACAAATTTCCTTGTTGAACCAAATGGCAACGTGATTTGGGTACCACCAGCGACATTCAAGACGTTTTGCGATTCAAATCTTCGTTATTGGCCTTTTGATAGCCACAAATGCACTTTATTATTTGGTTCCTGGGTATACAATGGCCATGAAATCGACGTGGTGCCAAAGGAAACCGATTCACACCTTGAACTATTTATTGAAAACCCTGAATGGGAAGTAACGGATTTGAAAGTGGATCGAAGTGTTACCGTTTACGCATGTTGCCAGGAACCCTACGTAGATGTTCGGTATAATATTACGATAGCTCGTCGTTCAACAATATATCGAACAGTAATTTTGGCACCAGCCTTCGTTGTCATTCTACTTACTTTGCTCACCTTTTGGCTGCCTGCTCAATATGGCGAGAAAATTCTGCTGAATGGCATCACCGCACTGATTATTGTGCTCTTCTTACTCTATTTTTCGCAGAAATTAAATGTTATGGCTTCACACACACCTCTGATTGGTAATCATCATTTTTCAATTTGATTGAAAAAAGAAACAAAATCGCTTTCTTTAAATTGCATTTCATTTTCTTATAATTGAATTGGATTTAATCATTCATTTGTTTCCAGTTCTCTTTTACAGCCATGCACTTTACATGGTGTGCTTTTCCACACTGATTTCGGTGATTGTTATAAATTTAACACGATTTAAACACCAGAGAGCCTTACCATGGATCATCAAAAAGCATTTGGATGGAAAGTTGGGCGATATTTTACTACTGGATCACATTAATGACTCTGAGGTTTTTCAAACTTTTCTTACATTTTTCTAAATTGTCATTAGTTCCTATAAATTACCTTTCAGCTCTTGCATTGTTGACAATTTTCCCAAATAAAAGTAAAACCTGAATGAAAAAAAACTCTTTTCTTCAACATTTCAGACTGAACAACAGCCCCGTGCCTCCGAGCTTCGTGAACATCCGTTCGATGAGCATTTACCAAATGACGAACAGCAAATCATTCAGCAATGTCGCATTGGAAATGGTTCATTGAAAAATGATTACTTGAAATTGGCCACGGCTGTGGATAGAATAGCTTTCATCGTATACTTTTTCCTCTTTTCGATTTATGGTATTGTTTATTCGATTTAATTGTTTTTTTTTATTTTCACCCGCTAAATAAACCGAAGCAACCAAAATTTATCGTTACCGGAAGTGATACAAAGTGTCCGAGTTTGAAAGTTCTGATATATTGAATAAATAAACCGTAAAAATGGAACTGAAAATTTAATTTATTTACATTTTATTCTAAATATTTCCAAGTAGTCTTAATATATGACATCGATATATTTACAACAATATAAATCGCGTCCACTAAAATGAAGTGCAAGCATAAAAACAAAACAAGAATAAAAATGAACATAAAACTGATTGTTTTGATTGTGTAACAATTGTAAGTGAGTTTGTACAATAACACATAATATGCTTACAATCTTATCGAAGTGCACCATCTGGGAGGTGCAATCAAAGGAATTCAATAGTGTTTAATAAAATAAACACTGTTTATTATGGAAAGTTCATCGAACAAATGATGAAACAATAAATCAATTATTGTATCATAGAATATGTTGGTAGTTAAAACTTTTATTTTTGTTCGAGCTGAGTAGCGCTTGAGCGCCGCTGGCAAAACACGAGTCAAAATTTGCCTAAAATGTGTTTTTGACGCTACAATTTTTGGTGTCACTTTGTATCAGGCTCTTTGTAATAATAATGCCATTTTTATTGTGCACATTTATGTGCACAGACGCAACAGTTGTCCGGCCAAAATATTCTTTTCTTGCGTAATACCTTTTCATTGTCATAGGAATTTACGACATGTAATTATATCACAAATGACCAAATTTATTAGGTGTTTTGCAAATGCTGTATGTAAAAAGGGTCATGCATTTGAAACCGTAACCGATAAAACTCTGTGTCGTATCGGTCAACTGGCCATTACAGAAAATCCCACTTAAGGAAGTGCGAGCGCTTAAATGACCGCAATTAATTAGTACGGCGGTGGGCAATAGTAGGATGGAAAAAGGCTGGATGTTGATGCAGTCGATGCCGATGGTTTGATTATTGCCGATGTGGTCGACTGTGAAGATGTAGCCATTGTCTGTGAGGTAAGTATACTGGGTGTTGAAATGGCCGTTGTCATCGTTGGAATCAGTGGGATTTGAATAGATGACGGTATGGTTGAATACATTGTCGTTGGACATTGAATTGAGTCTGCAGATAGACTACGACCATAATTAGCAACCGATAGCATGTTTGCCGTTGGATCACCACCTTGTGCCTGTTGTTGGCATGCGGCCATCAGTCCGTGAAAATCAAATTTGTACGCATATCGTTTGCCATGCACTTTGGTCATTATATTCTTATCGTAATAGTACCTGTTAATAAGATGATTAAATGGTATTTTATCAACTGATTTTGAATTGGTTAATTTGGTTTTTTTTATAAAAAAAGGAAATAAAATGTGAAATGATATCGAAAATAAAATACAGAATGAAAGAGAGGAGAAGAAAAGAGAAAAATTCGTAATGAAAGCATAAAGCGAAACGCGAGAAAGACCCACATAATTTCACACAGTCAATAATTTATGATTCAACATGAGACACACACAAACTATTCGAAAGATGAAACATTAACACGTTCCATAAAGAGAATCCGTTCCTTTTTTTCTCTCTCATCAATACATGTGTGTGTTTTATGCTTGAATTTCTCCTCCAATCGAACGGCATGTGTATAAAGTGAACGGAATCAGGCACAAAATATGGTAATTTGCTAAAGAGAACCGCATGCTTTATCGATGAATCACTCAAATACCATTTTTTTTCTTCTTCGTCTTCTCATCATCACACAGAGCACACTTCCGATGCGTATCGTTGGAATCTGTGCAACATGAATCAAGTGACAGCCAACAAATGAACACACACATACACAGTGACGCGAAGAATACCACGAAAGAAGAACAAAAGCCAGTTAGGTAATAGTGTTGCTGTGTGTTATGCTGCATGGTCATTTCTGTGAACTACATTGTTGTTGTTGTTTTTTTTTTGCGCCGCATTCTACATCTCGTCCGTTTCATGGAATTTCTCACGATTCCTTTCCTTTTGGTAGTTATTCATCGTACCAGCCAGTGTTGGGGTTTTGGCATTGTTTCGAAATGGAAATATTTGCCCGGCAGCGGAAAGCACCAATAGATGGTCATTATTTCATGTAGTTCAATTAAACAATTGTACCACTGATTCATTGCTGTGACTCATCTGCCTGGGCCGGTCTGCTTTAATTGGTACGCATCATCAAAAGCTTCAATTGATTTGTATGCGTGAGATGAAATTTGTTTTTTTTTTATTGAGAAACATTTTATTGAATGAGCGGAAAGCGATCGATTAGAAATACTTGTTCTCGTTAAATTTATCGCCTTAAAACGAAGCGGATCACACGAAAGCAATATTATAAATGTTTTCGCAGAATTGACTAATTTTTATACAACTAAAGCTTCATCGGCGCCTTTAAACCTATTGACAGATATGTTGTACACACGATGGAACGAGCGATGTAAATGACATTCGGCGGCAGCAGCCAAACGAACAAATTTTATGTTTCCATTAATATGTGATACGTAATGGTTGGGTCTCTTGATACGCGGCAGAATAACACCAACGAAGTGATAATACGATTATAAAGAAACGCTGCCATTTATACGGAGTATTTATGAATGAAGTCTTTGCGCGTTTTGCACTTTACACTTTTCGGAATTGCGAAAAAGATCAAAACAAAACGAAAAAGGCGATTGAGAAGAGAAAGATTGGCGAGCGACAACGATGACCACCGTCGAACATCGAAACCGGATCGAGCTGCGGACGCAAAGCAGTCAAAATCGAAAATATATTACATTTCGAAAGGAGATGAAAACCGTATGACATTGTGCGATACAACTTTTATTATTGAATGTAGAAATGATGAAAAAGACACTGATAAAACGCGATAACACAATTCAAATGAAGAGAAGAAGAAAAAACACACACACACACGAGACGCAAGAAAACCGCAAGCCACATTTCATTTTTTACCTGAGCGCTCGACTGAGCTTGTCGTAGTTCATGTTCGGTTTTGCTTTCCGTTCTCCCCAACGGCGCGCCACTTCGTCAGGATCGATGAGCTTGAATTCGCCATTTGTACCCTCCCACGTGATAAACTCGGTATTCGACGAATCAGCTAGCAGCTCCAACAGAAATTGCCACAGTTGAATTTGGCCCGACCCTTGTGACACTAGTCTGTGTGAGGCTGCGTTCAACAATTGATATGGATCTGTGCATTTTTGGAATAAAACATGGGGAAAGAAAGAGAGAGAAAGAGAAATATTAGCAAAATGTTCAAGTGTTCTGTTTGCTTATTCGCTAGAATGTTCTTTTTTGAGCACCGGATTCCATTTTTTTCTCTTTTCCGCTTGGATTTAGCTAAACGCTGAATTTTATCGCATAATCAACATTTGAAGGACGGCAAAGTTATAACTTTGAGTTCATATATGAAATCCGAATTTCGCGCGAGATAAAATGACAGCTTGACCAACACACAGAGCAAATTGATTAAGATTGTTTAAAACCGTTTTCTATAATTTGAACTAACATGCAAATCAACAATTCTTAGAAATTCTATTACTTAACATTTCGTCACCGGAGGGAACTGTATATACAGCAATAAATGAATGAAACAATTGAATCAGACCTTTGAGTAGTCATCTGTTTAAATACGAGAAGAAAAAATTGGGCAACGATCTAATGAATACGAGTCATATGTTGCACACTTTTCGTATTCGGGCGAAAAAAAAAATCGATGACTGTTTCATCCAATTCAACGAATTCATCGCGAACAGTTCGTATTTAAAAATAACAAGCGGCGCCAATTACTCATCGTGGTTGTTGGATGACATTGAATCTGATTGAATTCCCAAACAACGTTTTGACTGAGCCAAGAGAGACACACACCGAAAAAACCATACATTTTTGTGCGGAACTCAAAAATTTTGAATTTTACTCACAAAAAATTTTGTTGGAATTTTTCACTATGTGAAACATTTGTATCAAATTATGTGATGGCAACAGTCAGTTTATCTCATTTCTAAGAAATTTATTGTAAAATTTGATATGTTTTTTTTTCTATCAAGTTTGTGAAAATAGTGATATGATTCAGTCCAAATGGCGCCTGAACAATTTTTTTTATTTCATTTGGCGCCTAAATATAACGCAGAAAAAAAATATGCGAAACAAATGACTATTAAGTTAATCATTTATTTGAAAATACCATTGTAAATCATGGCCATACTGGCTGGCCGATGATGATGATGATGATGCGAATGTACATGATGCGACTGCTGATGAACACGAGCTGCAAATCGACGATTAAAATCTTCGGACAAACGCCACATCACTCCCGTGTCAACACAAACACTACTCATTTCATAGTTATTCAACATTTATTCGGTTGTTTTCGTTTATTTGAATGAACTGAAAACAATGTGTTTTTCTCTGATAAATCGTTTTTATTTCTTGGAAATGATTTCAAGAATAGTTGAAATATTTTTATTTTGGAATTTTTGTTCAAAATATCAAATTTTTTAGCTTCAAAACGAATTCGCACATTCATAAAGAAACAACTTCTTATTAAGAAGATTATTATTAAGACTGATTTTCGATATAAAAGGGTTTTTTTCTTAAACTTCGCAACTTTTCACATTCAGTTCCACCCTTGATCATCCTTTATTCTTTAAATCTATGCCACTGTTGTTAAGATGTTTGCAACTTTTTTTTGCACTGTAAACGATTTCGCGAGGAAGCGATTTGAGAGCGGTGTGGTTACTCGAACGGTTAAACGGAAAATGTTATCGGTGGCCTGTGGATTGTGTACGTGAAACCGTTTCTGATTGCCCACAAACGCATACTGCCTGTATGTGAGTGTGGCAAACCCCCTGGAGAAAGCAAAGCGTTCCTCTATTTCTGTCTCATCCACCCTGATTTAGCCGATAAATCAGTTGCATGTAGTTGTTACAAAGTCATATTATAGCATCAACTTTTCCGATGCAAGTAACGAGCGTTTAAGTGAAAATTCGCAGCAAGTGGCTTCAATATAGAGAATAAACTTATGCAAAATTGAAATCGTTCCCATGTGAAATGGCTTTATGATTCTCGTCAAGGACGCATTCCTTTGCATTTAACGTGCCATCAACGGTCTTAAGCGATGTGAAACTTGTAAAATTTACGAAAGTTTTGATTTTAAACGTAAAAATAACCGAGGAAATGAAATTACTTAATGGCAGCAGCAGCAAGCTATTAATCAGTTAATTAAAATAAGAGAGATGGCGAATCCAGCTTAAGATTTTCGGCTTGAGAGGCACGTGCGCACAAAAGCAATAAGCACCCTGATGTGTTATTTTGTCAATTTTCATCAAGTATGCAAATGAAGCATACCATCCGCAGAAGACATACGAGTCGAGCGTTGGTTTCCTTTCGATGTGGCTCGCATCCAAACTCGGATGCGCAAATAAATTTCGAATGAAAGGCTCCTTCCGATATGTTTGCGATGTGTTATTGAAACGTGCCATCGAGAGAGAAAGAAAGAGAGGGAGAGAGAGAGCGATGCACGACTTTGTCTATTGAATCGCTAAAACTTTCACAGCAGGTGGCACAGCAATAATATTTACCGAGAGCATTGTCATTCATGATCATGCATTAGGAGAGAGAAAAAAGTCATCAATAAGAATCGCCAGGAAGCGAATTACAAAATCCAATAAAAACATCCAAATGACAAATGTTCCGTTGATTTAGGAAGGAAGGATGTGTAAATGAATTTGATGCGGTCGTAATGTGTTTTCTTTCGGCTATAAAATCAGAATGTTCCGTTTGGGACATTTTTTAGCTTCATTTGTTTTTTTCTCGAATGATTCTTATCATAAGCTTCCTGAACAAGTATGAAAAGTTCCTTTTGTTGGAGAAAAAATATTTAAGCAAAATTTGGGTCACTGACTGAGCGCTGTTATGATAAGAGATTTTTTTTTCACTGGGAATTTTATGACTCATGAGATTTGGTCTCGAGAACGTTTTACACAAAAAAAATTCGGTTAAAATTGTTTTGGGAATAATTTCCAAAAAAAGTCGAGTATCCGGTGATGAATCTATCAATCTGTGACCTCTATGCACGCGTTTCCTTTCTCCTTAACTTTTCTCGCCTCTGTGACTCATGTCAAAAGGGCAACCAAAACATTGTACGAAAGAAATTCATTGAAGCTAATCGAAAAGCCCTCTCGGTAACAATGGCCAGATTTGGCCCCTTTTCACTCAGAGATTTCGAAGAAATGGCATAAATATGATAATCAAATGCTCGTCGTTTTATTATAACTTAATCTTTTAGCCCCGACACTCCTATAGATATCACCGACACTCCTTCACACCGTATGCGCAGTTAATAACGTTAAACATTTTCATATATATTTTTCTCTCTCAAGTGCAAAATGAAAGACTTGTGGTGGCAAACAAGTGGTGAATCTTTTGTTGTTTTAGTACATTTTGAGTGTGTGTATATTATTTCTTTGATGCTGGTACTGTGATACATATGGTGCGACAGATCAAAACGAAACACATCCTCTCCGCGTGTATCGCAAAGGTTACCACCCATTTTTATTCGGTTTCTTTCACACACTCATTTTTTCAAACGTTCGGTGCAAACGCGAATCAAACGTAGTCGTTGCCATGCTACACTGTGAAACGTGAAGCAAAGAACGTGTTATACACAATACACAGTACATAATTCCAACCGAAAAAAGGGGAAATTGTATTTGTTTAAGGCTTACACTCAAATACCATCATCATCCAGTGCATGTGCCGAGGCCGATTTATTGAAGAAAAAAAGAAGAGAAAAAAGCAGAATGGTTTATGCAGAAACCGCAGGATTCCTTTTAACATTGATATCGTGACATTGTTTGATTCGGTTGTTTGACGATTTTCTCGGAATAACGCTCTTTAGGCCAATCGGTCCACTTTATTCGGATGGATTTTATTGGGAAATCATTGAGAGGAGAAACGGACGAGTTTCTGGAGAATTCATTCAAACGGATTTACCAAATTCATTCCGAAAAATGCGTAAAATATACGATAAATTCGTAGTTTCCCATCACACATCGCCCAATCGAGACGAGAGACCCACTGATTTTTATCTTAATTTATTTCAATCGAAATAATGTACAGGTCAATTGAATTGAACGCAGTGATAAATACGTGCATAAAATCGACGAAGAAGAACTTAATAGCCAACTATTTATCTCTCCTTGCACCAAACTCTAATCCGATGTGCAAATACAAAATCAAAGTTTTGCTGTCGAACGCAGCGCGTTCATTAACGCCTATCAAATGATCTTGACCGGTCTGTAACAATAATAGAAATGAATGCAGCGATAATTCCCGTCGGAGTTGTGGGCCGAAATAAGAAAAGGGTGAAAGCCGATGATGATGATTGTTGCCATTTATTTTTATGCGTTGGTCACTCGATATAAGTCTGTGTGTTTGTTTATGTTTGCTTCTTATCGGTCAATTGATTAGAAAATCGTACAATAACGACTTTTCTTTCTTTGAATTACACGCTCTTAAACGTACTTTGAAATGTAATGCGATAAATATTCAATTGACTTATTTTTACTTACAGGGATCTATGTTGCATTCTAACGTTGGTACTGATTTACCGGTGGCATCGAGCACTTTCCATGCGATGTATTTTGCCAGTGTTTTACCTCCACACTCCGAGCCAGCACACACCCAGAATTCAGCCATCGTTAATGCCACCAGCTCTTTGCCATTGTTCGGGAATCGAGAGCGCACCGGTGGTGGTTTTATTTTAAAATTTTTGGTCATCCATTTCAACCATACTTTTATGTGTCCAGCATCCCATTTGTTCGGATCTAAATTTATCCAAAGGATTGAAGTAATATCAATTGGATTCAAGGAAAAATTTAATTTTGAATTTTCGTCAAACTTAATCATTCCTAGATTAAGAAATTTCAAGAAATTTGATTAAAATTAATGCAATGTACTCCACATAAACAGATTAAACCCATTTTAATTTTAGCAGCTTATCAAAATTGAGTAGAATATTTTGGAAATAATTTTTGTTTCGCCAATGTAAATACTTTATTCCAAGAAATCAATTTTTTAACCTCATGGCGAATTTTTTCCAGGATTTTTGGCGGGAATTGGCACAGAATGGTGAACCCGCATTTATTTTTAAATTTTTAAAAATCCTTCTTCATGATCCTTCTTCATTTGACGATGTTCAAATCAATTGGTATTCACATTTTTCAAGGAACATCCAAACTGAGTCCACTGCGAACAAAGTCTCTTTTACGCTAACAGCAATTCGTACACGAACGAGTCAGTGCGACAGTTGGCGTGAGCGAGACAAAGTTTGACAGCAAACAATTTTGTTATATCGGTTTAAATGTTCTTTAGTTTCATCAGTCAAAGAAATTTCACATTCATTTTGCTTCGTCGTACTTCTTGTTTGGTAATCTGATTGAACCATTTGGAAAATAATAAACTCCATCTACTTTAATCTGGTAAAAGTCTACATTTATTGGTGTCCTTCTGATGAAAGTGTTTCTTAAATTTCCTGATGTTCCAAGTTTTTTCTATTGTTTCTTTGAAAATGTGTTGCTTTAACATTTCCAATTTGACAAATACTACAATTTGAAACTAAATTCATGTTCTCGTTTATCGATTACATCGACTATTCAACAATGGATTCGAATTTGTTTTCATTTTATTTTAACTCAACATTTTCCGGGTGATTCATTACGAAATTTCAACGCTCTGCAATACACACGTATGAATCCCGTTTGTGCTAGCGAATCATGTGAATTGTGAATAATTGCCATAATTTATTAAGGAATCTGAAGAAATCATTATTAAATGCTTCCAATTGCCAATATTGAAACTTTTATTTCTTGAATAATAAACGCGTAGACGATCAAGCTCATTTTGCCTGTTGTTCTGTTCATCGCTTGATTTGGATCTTGCCCTTACTCTTTTCTCATTTAAACGATCAGATTTTATCTGTTCTGTATCTAGCTACTTCCAAATTCTATTCGCAAACGACCAAGGCGAAAATAACTTTTTATTTTTCCTTCTGAATGTCTTTTTTATTTGTTTGTTTTTCCAATTGATGTGTTTTTGCGTGTCATTTCGATTCTTTCATCAAATAAGTAATATCAATTCAATCAAAATACAAAAAAAGTTGTCTTTAAACTTTTAAAAATTCAATTCAAAAATCAAAACTGCATTTATAAGATCCTTTTCGAGGCCGCGAGGAATCAAACGTCACTCATAATAATAAAGACATGAATCGAAAAAGGGGCAAATACTCGCAACATACGCACAGACGAACAATCAGATTTATATATAGATAGATTTAAATGTATCCAAAACATCTTCACTGACAAGTTTATGTAAAAAACTACTTCAGGTGTCTGTTTTCAAATAAAAAAAAAATAATTCACTGTTCACTTCTCAGACAAAATGTCCCAAATTAGACGACTGGCTAAGTCTGAATAATTATTTTCCTAGTTATAACTAAACGTGACCATATCCATACAAAATAGTCGATTTCAATCAACTTAGCCAGTTTCAATTGTGTACCACTTTATTTCCACTCAGGAGTGGTTTTAGCCGCTGGCGAAAAATTTAAGAAATTTTTTCCTCCTATCACGACGAATGAATTAATTTCCTTTTCATCATAATAATTTTACTAGATTAAGGAAGAATTTCCACACACCAGCTGGGAGGTTCACGTTAAGTTCTTCTGAAGCTGAAGATTCATCATTATCTTCACTATCGTCATTCGGTTGCGTCGGATTGGAAAAATCTGTAAATTCGTTTGATGTCGAAGAGCGCGGTGATTCACTAAAATCCATTTCTGACACATTTTCACACTCCGCTATATACTCTTTGCCACTTAAATTTTCAATTTCTTCATATGTTTCTTCTTTTTTCACATTGGTTTGAATTTCATCAAATTGCATTTTTGGATAGAACACCAACGACCAAGCAAAATGTGTATCAAAATAAAGGAGTACTTTTCACCACGCAATAAAAATGGACTCTTTTCCTTAGAATTTTTTTTTAAAACTCAAATGTGTAATTGTTCAACTAGCAATAGTACCATTATAGTTACTATAGTTATTACTATAGAGACTATAGTTTGTTCAACAAAACCAGAGACACTTCATGAACGTTTTTCTTATTCAATTTTTCACTTTTTTCAAAAATTTCTCTTCATCCTATTTAAAAAACCCATTTAATTTCACACACAGAAAAAATCGTTGTGCCAATTTTACAACATCCACTTGGATTGAACAGCGTCACATTACTTGTTACGCGTCGCGTTCAAAAAATTATTCATCTTGACTAACCGGAGCTAGAGAGATACAAGAATCGAACACAAGGTGTTGAAGCCAGTTGAAAACAGCGACTTCAATTCCACGAAAATTGTATTACTAATAAAGCTTTTTAATTCGTTTTGTTTGCTTTGTTCGTGTGGTGTTTTTTTTCGCGCTCGCTTCGTTGTAGTCGACTATATTCAAGAACACTTAAATGGGTTTGCTTTCGATTTCTTCGTTCGGGTATGTTTATTGTTTTGATTGTTACTTTGGTTTTTCTACAAATTTAATATTCACATCATAATTTTTGCACTGTGCACACAGATAATTTCATCGCCATTGTAAAACGAATTGATTGATGCGTACGATTGGTTTTTGGTTTTTTCTCGCACCGTGTATTAAAATTAAATCCTTAAATTTGATTTAAATGACGGATCACGTAACTAGAACCAATTGAAATTCTAAACGATTCACTTGGTATAATAATTAGCGAAAAGGATTTACCCCGAAAAAAAAGAAGAGAGAAAGAGTGTGTCCACGAGCGACAGTAGACATTCGCGATCAACAGAAATCAATTTAAGACTGAGACGAAATTGTAATTTAACCGTCGCTCACATTCAAAATCGTTAAGCGCTGTGTATGAGCTGGCGCGATGAATGAAATTCATCCACACGCAGACCCGTTGATCGTGTGACTGCAAAGCACACTCACACTCAACACTCGCATCGTATGTGTTCACGATCACACATCTATGCGTCGGGTTGAAGCGATGTGCTTAGATCACATAGTACACTCGCAGCGGCCAGGGATTTCCCAGTAAAAGTGTTGTGTATAGTTGAGATGTATTAAATGCTCGCCGCACTATAGACCTTCATTCATACGTTCGGCGAAAGAAATGAAATGATCACCTGTTTGCCGATACAAATCGAACGATATGTCTGTTGCAATCTAACATCAATCTCACTTGTATAAAAAGGTCTGCGATGCAGTTCATTGGGCAATTTTCGATGTGACCAATGGTCAGAGACAAGCGCTTCAGTTGGGAAAATACAAAAAGTTCAGGAACAATTTGCGAATACCTGTTTCACCACTGCATTATGTAATTTGGAACAAATTAATCAGAAACCAGATCGGCGCGACGATGTGTCATACATGCCAAAATCGAACCGAAACAGTTAACAAATGATGAATCGGTCGGCGCAGCGCAATTCACGTATATTAAAACAAAATGCCAATCATAACAAAGCACTTTTACTACACGGTATTCGATCGTCATACGCACATCTACATTCCCGCCGCCGCCGACTTCTCAATGAATCATATGACTCAGCGCCAGTGTAATTACAACTTCAATTTATGAATCAGTGAATGTGTGTGAAAAGTCCAAACGTTCACCGCTCCGCTGTGCGATGAGCGATACTCGAGAAGAGCGCACTTTGTCATCATATCAAATGCCGATGAAATTATTATCATATCAATTTGCAAAATATTGACATATCAAAAACAATACAGCTACCATGATGACTTCGATTTTTCTGAATCTAACGATCGAGTATACCTCATCAATATCGGATGATTCGACTTTGAACAATTTAGATTTAAATCTCAAATGCGATACTTGGAAACATTGCTAATTTACAACGCTTTCGTTTGAATTTTTATCTGAGATTTGATTAGACCAAACGAAACGTGTATACAAAGAATGACCAAAAAAAAAATCTCCTACTCATAGTTTTTCCAAGAATTTTCATGAATCGAGCGACCCAACAATGAAAGCTTTGATATGATGTTCCGTCCGTCGTACCACCGAAACCGAATAATAGAACTGCACATCTGCTTTACAGCAAAGTATGATTTATTTCCTCAATGACTCATCCGCCAGTTAGCTAATCATTTCATTTGACGTAATTTGGCAAAAGCCGTTGAAAGCATTTCTCCCGAATTGGAAAACCTTTCCAATTTTTCTACGATTATATTTTCTACCAGCCGGCAATCGAATTATCCATGAAAAATGCGTTGAAATAAAAACAACAAAATAAACCAAAATAAAGGGAAAAGAATGTAAATAAAAGCAAAACCTAGAATACCGTATCGTTTGCCATTGAGTATTTCATGAGGTAGTAGATTGAAATGATGGCGCTCCGCATCGGGCAATACAAAATAATCGCCAGAATGCTGTCAACTGAAATCATATTGGGAATCAGTGGCTGTCAACACACATTAACATAGTCTGAACTTTGTTTTGATGGTGTGCCATTTCTATTGAAGACGAACAAAAAAAAACTATAGCAATAGCACTGCGTAAATATTGTTCCAATAAAAAATAAATACCCAAAAGCTGTAAAACAGGCATCTGAATCGACAACTCGATAACACATTATTGTCGAATCAACGGTACGGACCAGACGTGCAAAATTATGACAATCACTATTTTCTTAATATTTGTCAAGTGAACATTTAGAACATTGTGTAACAATTAAAAGTTCGATTTCGGTTTCCAATCCGTCCAATTTGAATCGGATATTCTTTGTTCGGATGGGTGGCCAAAATGCAATTTTCTAACATCAATGCGATATTTGAGCAGTGTCAATTTGAGCAAAAATTCTTTTGAACATTGTAAACAATTGCATACGATATAAACATCCGGTGAATAAATAATCAAAAGTAATAAAATGTTGTGAATGCAGCGAAGCGATGTAAAAAAAAGCGAGCGAGAATATAGTTACATTGATCCAGCGTTGGGGGCGCATACAAAGTAGAAACACTATCATAAATTATACCATTTCGGTTTCAAGCAACGACTTATTTTATCGTTGATGCCCAGTTTCGCATTGGTGTCACACTAAAATCTAAATATAAATACCAGTCGATCGAGAAAGAGTGCAAGAGAAAAAAAAGAAACATTTTTCGTTGATCACAACAGACACAAAAAAAGTAGCTTTTTGTTTGAATTGCTTTTTAAGTGAGTTAATTCCGTACGATATAAATCATACGCTGTGTGGTGGTGATATAACAAATTGATCCATTAAGTAGTCTTCGAGACGAGTGGTGTCGAATGTGAATAAGTACCAAACAGATCGAATGCATAATTAAGTTTTATTCATAAATGTCACGAATGAACCGATGCTTGTTGTCGAAGTCATGAACAGAGGGAAAAAATACTGTACTGACACCAATTAACACCTGTACACCAAATGTATCTAACGAACGCAACATTGAATGTACTGCGTCAGTGCTGAAGTTATTAGACGGCAAATGTGAATATTTTAGGGAAGTGAATTGAATACGTTGTTGTGTATTTGCTGTCAAGTCATCTGGAATGGGAAATTCTTAGAACAATTGTGTCAGCGTCTATTTTAAGCGCGATACGCGACAACACGAACGGAGCATTTCACGTTAAACGACGTTTATGTCAGACTACACTTAATTTATATTCATATTTTTAGTAAACTTGTTGGCCGGATTTATGTGCGGTATTTGAATACAAGCAACAAAAAGCAAAATAACTAAATTATCATTCTATCTTGACAAACGGGAATTACAACTGTAATAAAATAGCATCGAAAAGAAAAACAACATTAGTATATTGAGTGTGATGATATTTTTGAAAATGATAAGAAATTAAGTGACAATGTTTACGGTTTAAGCAAAGAGACGATACTCGAGTGTTGATTAAAAATTATTTATCAAAACCAATTCTTCCGAAAAACAAAAACAGAAAACCAAATTCACACAGACGAGTGCAAAATAATTCCAAACAATGTATTGGCTGGCACATATCGAAGGTGGACCACGTAGGGTCAATCATACGGCCGTTGCGATTGGCGATTTTATTTATAGCTTCGGTGGTTATTGTAGCAATGAAGACTACCGTTTGCTCAACACAATCGATGTGCATATTTTGAATACACAAAATTTACGATGGTCACAGGTGCCGTCGAGGAAAAATGAACAATATCCAGAAGTACCATTCCAACGTTATGGACACACATCGGTTGCATACGAACACAAAGTGTACATGTGGGGCGGTCGAAATGATGAAACTGGTTGCAACATCCTATTTTGCTTTGACACACAAACATTGCGATGGTCTAAGCCAGAGGTAACGGGCGACATCCCAGGTGTTAGGGATGGTCATAGTGCTTGCATCATTGATCATTATATGTATATTTTCGGAGGCTTTGAAGAGGAAATCAATCAATTTTCATGCGATGTTCACAAATTGAACTTGAAAACGATGCACTGGTCATACATACGAACAAGTGGACAACCGCCGAGCTATCGTGATTTTCACACCGCTACCATTTTGAACAATCGAATGTACATTTTTGGTGGTCGCGGTGACACCCACAGTCCATATCATTCGCAAGAAGAAATCTATTGCTCACAAATCGTTTACTTAGACCTCAGGACGTGTGAATGGTAAGATTATGACACAATTTTTTTTTTTGCCAATTTTTGAATTGAGCGCAAATTTTGCGGATCAATTTACGATTTCTTTTATTTCAACATGGTTTATTTTCTTGGAAACTATTTCTATATTGATTGAGATAATAAGATGTTAAAATATGGACATTGTGTTGTTTGTTTTGGGTTGTTATACGTGCACCTTTTATTACAAAACCAAACAAAATCGGCCAATTTATTCCATTTGTTTGAGAAAGAAAAATGGTTGCAAACAAATTGACTTTCATTTGGATTTTTTTTTGTCAATAGGAAACATCCAAACACAACCGGTACAATTCCCCTCGGTCGACGTAGCCATTCAGCATTTGTGTACAATAATTTGTTGTACATCTTTGGCGGATACAACGGCATCAACGATCAGCATTTCAATGATATGTACTGCTTTGATCCGGATAAGAATCGTTGGAGTTCGATGAAAAGCAGAGGAATCGTTCCCAAACCACGTCGTCGACAGGTGTGTCTAGTCATTGACAAGCGATTGTATCTCTTTGGAGGCACCAGGTAATTTAAAAAGAGTCCTTGATATGCTATTTTTATTAGATTAAAAAGCTTTTTTTTATCAGCTCCATATGCCATAATAATTAGCACTTAAAATTAAATCATCTAATTGATATAATTGTTTGTACGTTCATTTTACAGTCCATCCGAAAGTCCGACAATGCGCGGAGGTCATGGGCAGAAATTACTTGATTACAGCGATACACATGTGCTGGACTTCGAACCAAACCTCAAGACTTTGTGTCTTATGTCAGTCATCGAAAGCAATTTAGATCAAACGTATCTGCCGCAAGACATCAGGTGAGTATTTATTTTTAAATAATACTGATTCAATACCGGTAGACTCGATAAGATAATGAATTGCAACTTTCTACGCAATTTGTAATCATTTTCCCTTGGATTAACCAGCTGTATTCGTTTTTCTGCCGTTAGATGGGAGATCCGGACAATGACAACAGCCAATAACATCAGTCGGCCGCTAAACAACACCGGATAAGTAGCATTCAGAATCCATACGATCATCGTCATTAGATACAAATCACCACAAAGGATATAAAAACATTGGGCCAGGCCTAGTAGAATAAAGATTTCGTTACCAAGAACAATGACATCTGAAACAAAATGATCTTGACTTTATTGTAGAGCAACTCTGTCACAATAATAAGTGAATTTACTCGAATTTAACCTTTTGCATTCAAACATTTCATTTTCACTGCAAAAAAACAAATTGCTGAAACAATGGATTTCCAAAGGAATTGCTATATAAATATTAATAGTTACAAAGAGAATACGATTTGTTATTATACAGAAGCATTTTCTATCAAGCTAAACACAGCGACAGTTATGACATCTATTTCAAAAGTGGCATCATTACTTTTTGAACACGAGTGCGCCATAGAATATCAGTTACCACGGTACACATTATTATATAATTGTCATTCAATCACCGCAGCTATTGGAGAAAAAATTAATCACATGAAATATTCTGTGTCTAGTTCAATATCGATATGATTAGAAACGATTCATTTATATGCTTTCTCTTTTGATCTTTTAAAATATTGTGATCATAAATTTGAAGAGCAATATTCAAGAGATGAACCACCAAAAAAATCAAGCGTTGAATGTCGATATCATCGAAGTGTGGAGAACGAAATATATGTGACTCTTTGAATAACAACCACAAAAAGAAATCGTTGTTTATTGCCAACACGATTTCCAGTGCATAATTTTTTCTTCACCTCTTGATAGCACACAATTGTAGTTTACATATGATAGGACGTAGCTTGACGTTCGTGGAAATAACATAAATTTTTTATCATTATATCCTAGGGGAATATCACGCTTAAATTATTTCAAATATTTCAAGAAAATTCAATTTATCTCTAAGAATCTGTCGTATGAAATATGGTGGATATTTGTGAATACGGCGGACAATTGTGGATTTTTGTGATTATGAATGATATTTAAATGTATTTTTCCGGATTTAATGCAAAAAATCTCAAATATCTCCAAAATCCACAAAAATCTGATTTATTTATTCGAAATATTCGAAAATATGTCATACAATTGATGTTTATTTCAAATATCTCAAATATCTCACAAGATTCAGGAGCGTGATATTCCCCTAGATTATATCATTATTATTGATTCAATAATAAACTCAATGAGCATTTGATTTAAGAGCCCCAGCAATATAATACGTGTGAGTTTACTCATCAATTATAATTAAGTTGTATTTTAATAAAAAGAAGCAGAAAAAAACAACATAAATGCCCCCGCATACATTGATGTGAACTTGAAAACTACGTTACAACCTACTATAAAACCATATTAATCAAATTTAACGGAAAACAAAAAGAAGAAGAAATATATAATCTGTGTTAGACTAAAATGGCCAGACGGTAATTGTTACAACAGAAAAACATTTATTATATAAAAATGTTTATTTTTGTAAAATATCTGAAAATAAATTAACAAAATATGTATACACTATCAGATTGTGTGTGGGTTTGATTCTCTGTGTACTTTGTCATTTTGTGCTGTGCTAAAGTTTCTTCTACAGCAAATTGCCGCGATGCAAATAGACAACCAGGAAAGTGATAAGGGATGAACGATAAGAGCCGCCATCAAAAAGCCACATGCAGGACTGAGACGTGTGTTTCAAATACTCAGCGATTTGCGTCATTTTATAGCCAATGAATGAGCGTAGTTTTACAACTTGAATATTTCGAAGCATCGCAATTCTCTTAATTGACATTTTGTGAACGATCTGATAGTGGCATTTTGTAAACGATCTAATTTAATCTAGGAAGGCGAGAATGCTAATTTTTTTTACCTCCATTATGGAACAAGACTACTTTTTTGATTCTGATTCAAATCGGAATCACTTTTATCGGCAATGCAATGCACGCTTGTTATCCGAATCACACAAAGTGGTGGTGGCTGTTCCGTCATTTGTTGACGTACATTGTTATTGTCGCCTTGAAAAAAGTGAAGCACGTAACGGAAGAGGAATGTTCATATTGTTTACTTTTATTTCAATAACACTCCATTTTTTGCTCTTCCATTTCCACCGAAAAAAAAACACTTGTGAAATGTTCTTGGAAATAAATGCATGGAACTAACACACTTGGAGGTCCATTGGTGTGCAACGAGCATTCAAGCTGTGTTCGTAATGTAAAATGCGTATCTAGCATGTTGTGTCTATTTTCAACACATTTATCTTGAAAAGGCGGTTTTGCACATTTATTCTATAGCTTTATCATCAGTATGGTATTTCGAAAAAGCGATAATTGAATATTTTTTTCTGGACAAACACTTTTTTGTTAAAATTTCATTATAATTACCGCAGAAGAGCGCAAAAAATTAGATTTTTTCTCCAATGAGTACAAATTTTATAATATTCCGTCAACAATTGTTCGCTGTGATGAACTTTTCTGAAGCGAGAATTGCGTGGTTATTTTTGAACGATTAAGTTGTTCGCGCTGAAGCGATCATTGGAAAGCTTTTGATGGAGACGGCCAACACTCACTAGATGATACTATATTTCATTTTGATTTGATCAATTCATTTGGATTAAAAATTTATATTCACTTAACGATCGCATTAAATTAGTATAATCATGTTCAAGAGCTGGTTTTTTTTTTACTTTAATGTTAGTAATAGAAGTGATTATGGTTGAATGGAAGTCTATGATTGTTATTTCGTTTTTGTTATCGATCATCCGAAGAAAGTATGCAGAAGAAAAAAGAATGACAAGTTTAGGAACAGATGGAAACGAAAAAAAAATTTATGTTGAGTCGAAAATTCGCTGCGGTGTCCACCACAATCAATCTATCAATACAAAAGCAGGTGTAATGAATTTAAATCGGTCAAGATGCTCGTCTGGCCATAAAAAAAAACAACGTTTAAATCGAATGGCCCATTTGGCACGTTTAAAATGCATACAAAATAGCATGCAAATGTGATCAACTGATAAATTTAAAAATCCGATCAATTTTTTCTCTCTGTGAGTGTAACACCGAAATGAAGACGAAAAGAATGTAATGGAAAAAAAAAACAAAGCGGAAGATGTTTGTTCATGGATTTTATGGATAAGACCGTTATTTGTTGGTTTTGTTCCAAAATTCGCACAATCTCAGATGCTTTTTCTTAAGTGGAGCTTGTGATTTGTGCTGAGAATGTTGATAATTTGTAATTTGGCATTTTGCATCATCATTTCACCATGACAATGAATCATTTCCCACCGCGTATTGATTCTTAGCCGATGATGACCGTTGTGCGACCGCTACCGTACCTTCATACGTTTGGACATTCCATTCCACTCTCACGCCAAAATAGTCGCTAAATTTCAGTCAGGTTTGAAATACGCAAACTGATGTCATACGGAATTGCGTTGACACAAACAGCAGAGCAAAGCGAATTTTGGCAAATACGGAATGCCACAATACGAAATGGAAATTAAATGGTAATCATGTTGAGTTTTCATTTTCTGTTTCTCTGTGTCACTTGGACATCTCAACTTTCTGTCGTTGTATGTAAAACTGTATGCGTTGACATTTTACTGTGGATCGTTGTTAAGCGAAAGAGAAAATAACGAGAAGAAAACCGCGGAATGTTTGGTAGCTCAAAACAATTGTATTTTATATTATTTATCAATTGATTGCCGTTTCAATTGGCAATTCGATTCATTTAGTAAATAAATACCTCATTGAATGAGCCGTGGAGACGTGACAACGGAAGAAGAAAAATGGCATAATTATATTATTTTTCGCCTATACTCTTCTTGCCGCTTGCCTTGGGCCTAGCTGATTATGAATATATGTATTTGGTTTGTACATCGCCGTCATATGACACACACATACGCGGGCGCGCATCTCTTTTCCATCTGTCTGCGTTCGTTCATCCTTTCTTATTGGCACTTTGTGTGTGAGTGCGCGCGGGCGCATGAGCGCGAGATCTTGGCCGATGTCGATGCATTATGTCGTCTTATTATTACCATTGGATGCCTGCTTGCTTGCTTGGTTGGTTGGTTGGTGGTTTGTTCGGTGAAAGTAAAATATTTTTGTACATTTTAGGTTATGGTGATGATAATTGTTGTTGTTGTCCCTCATCTTCGTCTGTTTATGTGGTCTTTTCACACATTTTGCGCATTTTTACGCTGTCTTACTGGTTTTGTCATTTTCATTGGTTTGTGTCGCTCGCTTGCACGTTTGTTATTGTGGCCGTAAACACAATCCAGCGCAAGAACGAACACATATCACACGCCATGGAGACAACAGCAGCCAGCAGCAGCAAACAACATCATCACCAATATCGGCATTCTTCACTCGAACAAGATTTCTTCGTGGTGCTTTGGCTCTTAACAATTTGACAGACTTCTTTCATGCTCCGTGCTCGTGTCAGACCAGGTAGAAATGATATGATTTTTTTTCTCGAATTTTATTTACTGTTGCAGAAATAAAAAGGAGTGTTGTTGTTGTGTTTTGTTTTAAATCTGATAAATATCTTACAGTTAGCTGAAATCTATTGTCCATATTTGCGGTGGTTTTCATAAGTTGTTGATGGGGGAAAATCGGATTGAATGTAAAAAGTCGGAAATGAAAAGATCACACGTTCCGATGACGATTGGCGTCACTGTCAACAGCTAATCTCAATTAACCATATTGAATCGGTCATTACATTCAATTCATTTTCATTACCCGAATTGTGCCAGCACCTCTATGAGATGACAAGCACCGACCAATTGATGATGTGATGAAGAAAAAAGAACAAATATCGAAAAAATCAAACACAAACTTCATAATTTCTTATTTTCTTCAGCTCGACAACTCTTTTTCGAACGACGATTTGTCAGTCGCTTAGAAATAAAAAAGCAGCAACCGAGCATCATAATAAAATATCATTAAAATGCCGGCACCGCGCTTATCAGTGTCAATCCATTTCATTTTCTCTCTTTCTATTTTTTTTTCTCCAATTCATTCTCTTCGCTTGTTAACCGTTTAGCGTTTTTTTTTCTCTTCTATAATAATTTTCATCATCTCATTCACCTATTTTGACGATGAATAATTCATGGAATTCAATTGATTTCGGACTTTTTCTTTCTATTTTTATCGATTTGGATAATCAATTTGAGAAAAATTAATTTTTCGAACCCAAATCTCATTATTGATATGAAAATCGAAGGAAAAACCTGTTATCAATGTCTCAGTTTCCCGAAAACAATCTGACATTCCAATCACTTAATTCAAGTCATGGCTGGCGGATGTGTTTGATTCAAAAATTCCGTTGGACAAGTGATTTGAAAATCGTTTAGTATGCAGACTGGCGATTCGTTGCATGTGCGAAAGTGCAAACACTGATTATTCGGTGGACGTGCCCCTTTTACTAATGTATGCAAATAAAAAAAATGTTCGAATATGATAAAATGACCAAAAAAAAATGAAGCAACAAGAAATCGAGCCGATTTGATGGCAGAAAAAATGTTAGACAATTATCACAAAGTGTGTTATTCGTGCCAAGCGCTTGATTACAGAAAAAAAATTTCTGCAATTTAATATTTTCACAGATTCCTCAGTCGACGCTTTTCATCAATCTAAATTTTGTTTTCTTCTCTTTTCTATCATTTTAACGCGATGGCAATTTGTTTCACTTGCATTTGGCACTTTCATCGTTCGACCAAATGTCTAATTAACCGATCAGACGACGCGGTTTGACGTTCGACGGGAAGAAACGGTTTTTAAATTGTGAAGAATTTTTTTTTGCTGCTGCGATTCATTTTCTGCCAACCGTCTGATGATACCTAATTTTCCTCTGGAATTTCGAATTCCGAGCAATTTTCACGCAGCCACGCATTCAATCGCATCACACAAATTTCCTCCAGTAGTTGAAGCTGAAGTCGCACAGCGGCGAATGCACTGTAACAAGTATCGTATTTTATATACTAAGAATTTTTGTAGCGATATTTTACGCTCAATGAATGCACGAGGTACTCGCAACGATGAACGATTCGCTCCATTCCATGCACCAAAAGCCTCGTGTGTATGTGCAGTGCACACTCACTCGATGATGCCGTGGTATATCGATGCCCCGTGCGCGCACCACAACCAAACCGTCGTCATTAAGCCATCGTCTGTTGAGCGAACGCGACTCAATCGAACGAAAAAGAGAAAGACTATTTCAAAGTACTGAATTCGGCCCACAATACCATCAGTTCAGGTGCAAACGTCGCTGTGAAAGGTTGTATTTCATATTTTACTCTTGGTGTGTACGCTCGCAATATTCGAACACACATTTCCCGATCAGATCCCATCAGACGAATAAACGGTATTGGACCCATAGCCAATATCTCGACACATTGTCGATCGACAGAACGAGTTAACACACGGGACAAAATCAAGAAAGAAGAAAAAAGAAGAAACAACAGAGAGAAGACGAACCCAGGCAGAGAATCACCGAATCCACAGTGTATGTGTGTGAAAATGATGCAGACGAAAATTTATAACCGCATTTAATACGAATTGCATTTCGAAACATCAACTTAATTGTTTTTTTTTCTTTGTTAACATTGTGAAAATAAAAATCAGCGATTCTTGTTGAACAGCAATTATAGCGACCACACAACATCGATACATTGACCGATTAAACGGCGAAAACGAATACATTTTCGGTTTGGTTGCATTGCACCGTGTTTTCGCTACGATCAATCGAACAGAAGAAGAAACAATTGTGTTAAAGTGAAACTATTTTTTTTGACAATTTTCACCTGAAATTCAGTTGAGTGGATATATTTTAATTCGGGACAACAGCTATAGTTAAAGGATTTTTCGTTTCTGCATTCCAACATGAAGTTGATCGTATCCCTGATATGTGCCATTTTTATGGCCAGTGAAATAGCGGCACAAGGATTCCCACCGCAATTTCTATCGGTAAGTATTCATTTGAAGCTCCAAAAATGATGTCGTTAACTCGAAATAAAATCCGATTTTAATTACAATTATCACCTCGCCCAAGTGAAACGAAATCGCACAATTTGCAACAATGCAAAACGAAAAAAAGCAAAAAACCAACCAAAAAGAAAGGTGAAATTGTCCACTTGTGTGCGAAATATGTATCATTCCGACGTTTTATTAGCGTACGCGCGACCGTCCGTTAATTTCATTTTGAGTTTTTTTGCAGTGTGATCTAAATTTCATCATAAAAATCATTTTTTACGTCGCGTCGCGCCAAAGCAAAAAAAAACAGAAAACAGATTTCGTGTTCGGCCGCAATTCGGGCAAGTTCAAGTTAAGCGGTTAACATTTAAATTAAAGATTGAGAAAATTGCAATCTCAATTCGAAACCGAAAACAAAGTGGAATTTCATTAAAAAAAACCAACGTCGTAATGAAAAATGATTACGAGTGTAAACAAAAAGCACTCACCGAACCATGAAAAAAAATTAAAAGCCAGAAGAATATTTCGCGGGAATATCGAGCAGGCAATAAATAAGCAGGCAATTTTTTTTCTTCTTCTGTGAATATGAATTCGTTTAAAATCTGGCTGGTGATCGTCGACAATATGCTTAAAATGAAAACTTGACATTTCACCTTTTTCTCTCTCTCTCTCTCTCTCTCTCTCTCTCGCTTGCGAATTAACCATTGTGCGCACAACAATATTTTCTTGGTTTGTGATGAGCGCACTCGCGCGCTGCTGCGCTCACCACTCTTGTCTCGCCTAAATCGCATCCAGTCGATTTGGCCCAGTTGTGAAATTGTCTTCGCGCTGAACAAGCCAGCCAGCATCCAATGCAACCATATACACACACCGAGAAACAACAAGATGAAACACACAAATCCCGTGATTGACCTTTGGTTTTCTCTTTCATTTCTTTTTCACATTCAATGTGAAAAACATTCAAATGGATTGATAAAAAAAAGTGTGTCTTTGCATCGTCAGGCGCATCTCTTGTATTTCCTATTCCGTTATGAATATATTTGCTGTCGTGATTGTGGCTGTTGGTGTTCAGCGAAATGTTGTTTTCGATATTTGGAGAGCGAAGGAGAAAAGAAAGAAAGGCTTGAAAGTTCAAGTTTATTCTGGTTTCTGGAGATATAAATTCGTGCGAGCTGCTTATAGTACAGTGGCACAGCCCTGTTGTGTGCGCATTCTTTTTTTTTTCTTTCTGCCGTGTCTCTCTAGTTAGTGAAGACGACTCCCCGTGTGTTGTTGTTGATGTTGCTGCAACGACGACGTTTCATTGTCAATAAAATGTAAACGAAACACGACGGCCCATGAAATAGATGCGCTCCCGCGCCACACCACGCCGCGCGAGTGCATCATCAACGAGACATCATCATTTTATTGCCCATTCGAATTTGGGCTTTCCAATACAAAGTGGTACTGGCCTGTCTAAGCCAACGTCTGCATCGACGAAGCAACAAACAAGCGTTCACTTCACTTTCAGCCCAGAGAAAATAGAAACAAGCGATATGAAAATCAGTAATGTACGAATTTGGAATGTACACCATTGATTTGAATCGCATTCGCTGTGTGTACTTTATGCTACGATCGACTGTTGAGCCGATAAGGAATGTGCAAATAAATACAATTTTATCGCGCAATTTCTACGATGTCGCTTCGTTGCTCGCCTGACCACGACACGATGCGACCAAAAACCAACAAACCGACACACGGGCTCATCTTGGGCCGGCTGAAAACGGTTCGAATTTTCGATCGCGGTCATTCGTGAAAAATAGGAACATTGTTGTCATTTTTCGTGTTCGAAAACGGTTCCAATGGTCGTAAATCACTTTGACTTTATGCCTCACTTAAATGCAATCTAATAGTAAATCGGAATATAATTGCGATTGTCCACACGATATCGTCGGTCGGTCGATCTCGTCGTTTTGACGTTGAAAACGTGTGGCGGTTTTGTCACGCAAAACAATACGTGCCAGCGAACAAACGAAACGATCAAGCTGATCGAGTCGCGGAAATGAAGGTTAGAGAAAATCAATTATAGCCACTTTAATTCATATACGCACCAAGTTCCGGATGTAGACATGCCGAAACAAGAAGCAGATGATGATGGAATCATTAGAAGACAGAAGAAACAGAATGGAAAAACAGAAACGCACAACACTTTCTTGAATCGGCAAAGATGTCGAATCGACTGTTTCGCTCATTTTTCTTGACCACAGCTAATTGCATAAGTCATACTGGACGATACACCACATTCAATCATATTTTTGCCATGAATATTTTTCTCCGACAGAACAATTATTTCCGTCGCTTTTTCTTCGTTTCATATAATTTTTTGTAGTTTTTTTCGTGTCCGCCACCGATTTTCTGAGAAGCAATATGCTCGGCCAAATGCCAATAGCCACGAAAACCATAAAAAAGAAGAAACAAGCAGCAGAAACAAGATGATGATGAGCTGATGATGATGATGCTGCTGCTTCTCGAGTCACCTGTACGCAAAAGCGACAGATTTTCGATCGGAGTCTGCAGCACACGCAGACTCGATGTATGCAGTCGCACATCGAACCTGAGTAGAAAACAAATTAATCGCAGCAGCAACAACGAAAATTCCGAAACAAATGAAAGTAAATTGCTTGTAATATATTTAATATAAAATGAATATGAATCGTCGATGGTTATGGTTTTAGCTTGTTTTGAGAGAGAGAGAGAGACTCTCCTCGCGAGAGCGTATATTGTAACTTGTTGGTATTACTTTTTTTGTACATCGTGTGTTGTCACGGTTTTGTGTGTGTGCTGTTTTTTCTCCTTCTTCTTTTTCTTCTTTTTTTCTGCAAGACTCGTGCTGTTGTTTTTCGTCCACTCATTACTATTCTCGTGTAATCTTCATCTCTATTTACAGTTTTTCGTATTTTTTTGTCTCAACGACGTGTCGATCGACAAAAACAAGTTACGGAATCACAAATGGGCAATCGGCCGATTAAGAAGAAAAGAGATTCATTGAATATCTGCTTTTTTCTATCACTTTGTGCGAGACTTTTTTTTTCTTGTTTCAGTTTCGGATTTCATTTCGTCTTTGTAATGAGAGAGAGAGAGAGAGAGAGAGAGAGAGAGAGAGAGAGAGAGGCAGAAGGAGAGAGAAAAAAGTCTGTTCACGTAACTTATCGATTAAATTTCAACCAAAAAGTCACTATCGATCATTTCATCCAAATGACAATTGGCCCCAAATTGGTTTCCACTTACAATGGAACAAAAACAGTCATTGAGCGTAATAAAATAAAATTCGTTTTGATAGTCAAATTGGGACTGGTTTCATGTTGTATAACTGTTTTGAGTATGTAAAAGCAATTGGCTTCGATTGCAAGAAAAAAATTGAAGTGTTTCTGCATAAACGCAGAAAGTTCAACGGGAAAATTGTTGGCATTTTTAACTCAAAATTAAGCTGATATTAAACCGAAATCTACAAAAAAGGCCAACATTTAAAGATAAGCCAAATTCGTGACCAGCGGTGTCTGAAGAAATCGAAAACGGCTGTCCGAAACTAAAACCGATTTGGCAATTTAGCAACTTTTCATAATTGGTATTGTTCGTTATTTTGGGCACTACATAATTCGCCTAAATTCTAAGCAGCAGAAAAATAAAATTAGAACTTGGTGAAATGGTAAACAAAAGAGAAACTGTTTTCGTCGACAATTTGTGTGTAATTCTATGGGTAAACAACGCAATGTTTCATTCATCAGTTGGCAGACCATAAAGAATATATATGAGTGTATATGGTGTGGTTCGAGGCTATAGCCATTGATGTCCATTTTGGTGAGCACAAGTGAAGAAGTGAAGTGTGCTTCGAGTATAGTCGATTAGTCAGTGGCAATTGTGGCTAAAAAGAAAGTTTATGACAGAAATGGATCTATGGAGCGGTTGAACCTACTGGAAATTATCGATAATTAATCAGTAAAGTAAATGAAGATTTTTCGGCGTACGGAGAGCAAGAAAACATATACAGCACACACTCTCATACATGCGAGAGTGTTGTGTTTTAATTGGATTGACCTTTTTACTGTGCGAGTAGCCCGCCGCAACTGCTACTTTTCGTCCAAAATAAACAGCAGTTATTTGGTTCTGATTGGCCATTGGCCGCAATCATCCATACACTTTAAATTGCTGATCAAGATAAACCATTTAAGTAACTGATTTTCTCGCGCAAGCAAGTAATCTTGCACACACGTACTCGCGCGATTTTCAATCTATATCGACACACACATCGCTTTTTACTCTCTCACACACAGACTGAATGTTGATTCAGAAGGAAAATTGCAAAAGGCCAAGCTAAAATCACCATGTCATCATCTTGAGCGCTTCCGTTTGTGTCGTCGTCGTCGTCGGCAATTCGAAACTGTTCGCTTTCACAAAACGTACACGCCAGAAATGTGTGATTGATTGAAATTAATTACAATTTGAGAGTGAAAAGATAATCAGTAGTAGTCAGTAAATAGTAGTAGAAGAAGAGAAACACAATCGTGGCTTGAAGCTTTTACCTACTTCTAAACGTTTTGTTTTTACGCTCATTCAAACGCAATTACATTAGCACAACGCCCTAGTAATTTATGTTCCAGCCACATCCCAAATCAAATATGTGCTTTGAACACTCACACACTTTGAAAGTATCAATTTTGTGTGCTTGAACTCAGACAGCAATAGCGGCAGCGGCGGCAGCATTGATGTGAATGACATACGAGCGAGTAGCTATTTTCGCGCATTCAGAGAGAGAGAAAAATATGCGCTCAGTGGCTAGAAACAGTGTGGTATATTGATCAAAATACCGACATCAAAGCCACATGCATCGCCTCAACCGATATTTGCCCATCATTTCTATTTGCTGTTCCTCGTGTCGTCGGTGTGTGTGACTCAACAGCTCGTAACTGTTTCGGTTGTAAATGTTTTTTTCTTCGCTTCAATCTTCTTAACGATGC